TAGGTGAGCTACACCCTACGAAGTCCAAATTCAATGTAGAAATACATAAAAAGTTATATTTGTTTAAGCTTTTAAATAATAATGATGTATTTTTATAAAAACTTTTTTAAATGAAAAAACTAAAAAGCTTTAAAAAAATTGATAGATATCATATATAAATTAGTATACCTATTTATTTCTATATACGAGGAGGAGTGACCGAGTGGGTAAGACGTTAGTGTATTTGGCGCTAACTGTCGCCGGTTCAATACTTGGTCACGGGCCGGGCGCTCCGTTTGCCGGTCGAGAAATTGTCAGGTAAAAATAAGCCAGAATTCTCCTCTCTGGTGACGGACTTAACGACCCGTCCTGGATAGTGAATTCGTCGAGAAATCATCTCATGTGGCAGCGTTGGGCCTTCATGTCCCGTTAAGCTACATGATGATGACATTTATATATATATATCGTTTATATTTATACTCATTAGTCATTTAGCAGTCCGACCTCAACCAAAGGTGAAAAATTATGTAGCTTTGCATTAAACATACATGTCTATTTATAAAACAATATTTTCAGTTCGATGGTCGACATTTCACATTAGTTGTTTTTTTGTAATATATTCTTGCAGAATAACAAAAATAGTAAAATTTAATAAACATTTCTCGTATGCACCCGTGCATACCTTTCATGACCTTTTTGGTCATAGAACACGACGAAAATCTTATCGGGATCACGTTATGACTCGATTTAAGTAAAATGATGTGGATTTCTTATTTGTTTATAAATAAGTTGGTTTATTTGTTATCTATAAAAATAGATAACAAATGAACTTTCAGAATTATATGCAAGGAAATTAATGAAAGTAAGCGTGTGATTTGTGAATATTCTTTAGTTTTACACAACTCACCCCTTCATTATAAATATCCAACACAAAGGTTTAATAATACATTTCTTTATTCTATACAAATATCGTTTTCAGGCTAAAATGGTAACTGAAAAAACACTTTTTAGATACGCTTAGCATTGTTTAAATAGTTTGCATGCATAATTTATTGTTTTATTACGCGGGTCAATGGCCAAGTTAAATATTGATAAAAATGACTTAAAGGGCTAGAGCAGTTTATTTGCTAACATTATGTGTGGGCTTAACATTTTTTAGTTTTAACACTCCAAGAACCCGTTATTTGCACCAATCCTACAAAAGTCCAATCTACAAATCTAGCCCAATCTAGCCCAATGCATCTACATATTTATGTTATGTCTGTTATCGTACAATATAACAATAATATGCAGACCGTATAGAACTTTTGTACTATCTGCGGGTTGTTAATAAGGTCAAGAAACCCGATTAAGTAACATTATGAGCGTTAACAACAATAGTAATAATTTAAGACCGAGTATAAATCGGTTATTATTGATTCAACGGGAAAAAAATACCTATTGTATATTATAGGTAAACGATGCCTTATCCGTTATCGTGTCCTCGTAAGTTAAAATATTTCACGTAAACTTTAACCTTATTTTAAAATATTCGTGCGATAAACTACAAAACATATAGATATATATATATATATAAACTAATTGTATGCAATAAAAATGAAAATATAAAACCGAAAGACTTTTGAGCCAATGCGTAGTGTAGTGCATGAATGGCATAGTGTATTCATAATATGATCGCAAGTAGTGACCCAATGTTGTTACTGACGTTTTTTTTGTTTTTATTTTATTTAATTGGAATCGTCGGCAAGCCTTGTACGTTTATCGCTCATCGTTATTATTTTTTTTCTCATTCTTCGTTTGTAAGATTATAATTATTATTATTTTTTCTTATTTATAAGTATACCATATATATATACGTATGTATATAAATTAATATCACTGCGCACACTTTAGGGTCATCAGATAGGTATATTGTACGGCAGCACAGCCTTGTGTCAGTTTTATATTATTTATTTATTATTATAATAATACGTACATTATGCGCATTTTTTCTCTCGTCGTAGCCGTTTTTTATACAATTTTAATGCGTTTTACACGTATACGCATAACACTGTTGTCCTCAATGTTCAGCAACCGTGAACCAAAAACCGGAATAAATCAGACGGACGCTTTCGATGCTAGAGGTATTATGCGAGCGCAAATTTACAAAGCTAAGCGTAGACCGTAGTTACAGGTGAACCTGGACCGTATCCCTTTGTGCGTCATTCAAACAGCGTTCGCAGTAAATATCTGTAAAAGTACTATAGGAACGGCTACGTCATAATTGACTATAGGAGAAATGGCCGCGAATAGCAAGGTCCGATTTGGATTTTTTTGGCAATGGAAACAAAAATAACGTATTTAACAAAATTCCCATAGTAATTTATGATCCGGTTAAAGTATGTCGGCAAAGCGGCAATGTCGTTGACCCTGAAAATTTTTCCGCTCAAATAGATGCACCAACAAAATATATCTAACCAAAAATATCTAAACCTGAAACACTAAAGTCTGATGAGTACTTGGCTGTTTTAACTACAGCCGATGCATAATATTACTATAAACGAGACGGTCAAGTGTCATTACTCATTAGCGAAGGCAATCTACTTAATCGTACAGAACGCGCGAAATCTCCGAGGATGTATCTACTTTTAACCAGTAGCGTATCCAGAGGTCATCTGGGAAAGGGTTATTTTAATTAGATACTTATCGAGGGTAAAAAATGTTTTTTTCCGTTTTTGTTATTCGCCAAGATAATATGATCTAAACACTGCATTTTCCCTTCTACAAAAACCTCATCGCTTCTGACAATGCCTATGAAGCAACATGAAGTTATAGTTGGCTTTGACCTTAACGAGAATAAACAATTTTTAGATATTATCCGTTCTGGATTTCAAAAGTTATCGCTGTGAACCGTTAAAATGTTGAATAGACAGTCAACAAAAATATGATATGTTTCATTAAACATATACGCGGTTCATTGACGTACATTCTGCGTTCGGTTTCTTATTGTTTTCGCTTTCGTTAATTAAATACATCAGAAAAACATCACTCGAGTACGATGCTCGATGGGCGATGGCCCTTTCTGCGTTTTTTTTATTTCTTATATTATCGACTATTCGCCTGTAATATGATAAATGATGTACCTATTAATCGTTATTGTTAATTATGCAATAATACTTATTCTCTTTAGGCAGTTACTAATGCTCTCGAAAACATGACAATAAATTACATTAGGTATATTCTTTATATACAACAATATAAACTTAATAAATAATATTATACAAAATCCCGATAAAAAAAAACAATAATATTATAAAAACTATTCATAGTTGTGGTTTATTTAATTTCGGCTTTTATCTCTTCTATATTTTTTGAGTTAATGATTCACTATGTGTGTTCAACTATTTTTGTAAACTATTCTTTAAACCAGTTTGAATTTGTACAATGGGTTTTTTTATAATAACTTTGACTAATTTTAAATTGAAATAGTTCATACCCTTATTATAATTTAAATGAATTAATAAGATTTTGACCAATATATTCCATTATTACTTTAAAGTTCTCAACAGCAAAAAAACGGTACACAATTTAAAATTATTTAGCACATGCTTCGTAATAATTTAAAGATCTCGAATAAATTGCGTTTATGAAAAAAAACATTTCTTAAAACGAAATTAAATACAATTATATTAATTTTAATTTTTAGTACACTGTATTTTTAGTAAATTATCAAAATATTCTTAATCACATTCATTACATATAAAAAACTTCCCTCCTACTTTTTACTACTACCTCTATATCTAAATTCAGTGTATTTAAAAATAAAAACAATATATTTTACGTGTAACTTCGTAAATCTACAAGCGTATGACTATGCCCTATGGCCTAGTCTATACTGAATACTGATTTAAAAAATATTTTTCCAGAGCACTTATTTTCCTTTCTAGCAAAATATAAACTTCATTGGTTTATTAGTATTTGTTTGACAAGCGCAGTCCGTGTATCGTTACTAATATTTTTTCTATGCATAACACGATCATAATTATTTATTTTGAATTACATTTTAATTCAAGGAGATACGTCCGAATATTTTGAAGAAACATCGAATACGCACCTTCTTATCATTTGTGTGTTTATTTATTATATTATTAATGCATGAATAATCAAATAAAAATAATAATACATTTTTATACACTGCAACGCGGTAGTGCGAAACAAAAATAACGACGCTTTTTCTACACAACGTAGAGCGTCAAGGCGATTTGCGCAAGCATATTATTAAAATCAAATTCGTCCAATCATTTGTTTCTCAAAAATTGAAAAAAACATCATGACTCTAGTTAGGAAGTAACGAGATACGTGCCGTTAGTGTGTGAATAAAATACGAATTGTATGTCACTGTGTCAGTGACAGAATATGTATTTACATACCTACTATTTATTTGTTTTAACCACTTTTTAAAATAATAAAAAAACTCATAATCTAAGACCCGATCCTAAAAAATGAACGACAAATGCTATCCCCGGGGAACCGCCCTTGACGCATCCAGCATAATATTATTATCCCATTTAGCAAGTCATTTGGCAAGAACCTCGAGTATAATATAGTCGCCCGTGACGCATTTAAGTTATTTTTTCATCGACCACTGTTCCGTCATTGATTTTATAACCTTAGTATCAACTATCAAGATATATCTATACAACAATAATAACGTTATTATTATTATTGTTGTTGTTACTAATTATTTTACGATAAATAATAAACAGTAGCCCTCCAAAAAAACGGAAGCGCCGTTACGATTTGTCGGAGTTTCGCTTGCGTCATTGATTATACTTTTGTTCCAATGACGATTAGTGTATGGGCCTTTGGTCGCGACGGCTACCTATGGCGTTTAGGTCAATCGAACGTCGACTGCATTCTGAACCGCTCGACGACCGCGTACGCGCTTAATTCGTCTGCATCTAGATACGATATAACTATTGCCTACATTTTTACAAGGTAAGTTCATTTACTTCTATAATTTTTGTTTCTTGGACAATCGTTTAAATACAATTTTGCAAACGCTCGTTAGGTAGAAGTGCATAGAGTAGGTGGCCGGCCGCGATCATTTCCGTATCGGTGAAGTCGAACAGTGGAGGAAGCGGTCGACCGCCCGGTAGTCGAAAGCCCGCACGTCGCAGCTCGTCGTAACATTTGTGGGCACATGCAACCAAGGCCGTCGGTCTGCGCGAGGCCGTCAGCCTTAACGTCCAATCCACTAACCGAGCCGCTTCGGGTGGCGCCGTCGCGGTAAGCGTTTCTCGTGGTAGTCGGGTAACTAGGGTTCGCTGTTCTTCGGTGGTGGAACCCGGAAACGCGGGCTCGCCAATCATCAACTCGGCGTAAACGCACCCTGCGCTCCATACGTCTACTGCGCTCGTGTAGCCGGTGGCGCCGAACAGCAGCTCGGGTGCCCTATAGTGTCGGGAACATATGTATGAGGCGTTCGGCCGACCGTCTGTCAAGTCTTTGGCGCTGCCGAAATCACACAGTTTTAACGCACCCGTTTCTGGATAAACCAAAAGATTGCGGGGCTTTACATCTCTGTGACACAAGCCCATCGCGTGAACATGTCCTAGCGCTCTAAAAAGTTGGTACGTGTACAGTTTGGCGTAAGTCGAGTCAATCGTCAAGCCGACGTCAGCGTATTGGCGGATTACTCTGTGCATGTTGGTCGGCGCGTATTCCATGCCCAAGTTTAATCGGACGTCCGGAACTTTCCCTGCGTTTAACCACCGCCGTTTATTTAAGATTAATAACATTTGCCGCGACCTGTACCCCCCATAGCAAACGGTGGTGACAAAGGTTTTTGTCGCTGACCCGAATAGTAAAAGAACAACAGCTGGATCACGTTTGGGTGCCGCCCTAGACGCTTGTGCGCTTCGAGCTCGCGGATCCTGTCGTACTTGCCGGCCAACGGAATTTGCTTGACGGCCGCCACCCGGTTTGCATTGTCTAGCCGCACTAGGTACACGGTGCCGTGAGTGCCAGCGTCCAAAACGGTGGCTCGACCAGACGACATGCGGTAGTCGATTTCGGAAGATTCGCGATCAGAAACGTCCAACGAATGTATTGGCGGCTCGCGGGGCCTAATGAATCCGTTCATTTCCTACGGACAAATTCTAATAGTTGTTGTTGATTTTTTTTTTTTTTGAAAGCGACACGTGGTCGTTGTCAGGCAGATGTATTGTTATTGTCGGTCGGACGTCTCTCAAGTACACTTGCACTGCTGACCGATTTTTCGCCGAGCACATTGACCTTCAATAGCACGCACGTAACAACATGTGCTGCTTGTTTTTTTAAGCTGTTCACTAATACCAAATAAGATACTGCTTTAATAATATGAAGGGCACAGGGGAAGAAGGGTAGTAATCCTTTTATGAACATTTTTTTTCAATGTAATATGCCATCAATTTTTTTTATTTATGTCAATGGATTGTTTAAATAAATACATTTTTAGTAGAATAGCACTTAATGTGGTTTTTTTTGTTCTTATGTAAGAGGAAGAGGAATTCAAGAACTTTGTTTTTGCTATACTCTAAAATTTTTATACATGGACTACTACCCTTCTTCCACCGTGCCCTTCATATATTCAGTGTGTTTTTTTCTCATACTATAACAAACACGACAATAAATAACATAAATAGAATTCCCCCTTTAAAATTTTAGACCCTTTAATTTTATAGACTACAACTACAGTTAACAGTCGGAAGACGAATATATTATATCTAATAATAATCATTGTTTTATGCACGTCTAATATGCTATAGGTACGTACATATTTACCACAAATAAGTGCTCAGGACACAATTATTCTAGAAATATAAAATAAATTAAAAAGAAAAAGTAATTTCCGTATTAACAAATAACTAAATATAATATAATAGTTATTGATGTTGAATCTTAAATCTACATAGGTATTAAATAATAATAATTATTCTAGGACTGACTGGTCTATGTTTCAAACATAATATCCGTTATTGTTATTAACCGGAGAGCTATAACAGTTACTGATAAGTGATAAATAATAATAATTGGTTCTTCGATTGATTGCCGAACAACACAAAAACATTCAATAATAAATTTTTACATACCTAATAAATTAATTAAGTTACATCATTTGCATAATAATTTGATAGCTGACAAATAGATTTTATAACCTATTCCCGTTTTATGCATAACAATTCGTTTCTTTCTATATTAATTATTTATCATAGGTTAAAAATATTACATCATTTAAAATGACTGATTCTATTATCATCATATAGATGTATTAAATATTTATCATATATTACAATTTGATGTTTGGCTATTTGCAACAGTTATGCTGTAAATATAGCAAAAGTAGTTGTTTTTATATTTTGTTTTATCATATTATAATCGATGTCAATATATATTGTGTTACTAAGTTAAATGTAACCTTTAAATTAGTTGCTTACGTGATATTTCTTTGAAATCTATCACCTGTGTCGCAACATTGAGTTAAACGGTTTTCACCACTCGCTATATTATAGTTACAAGATAGGTTAAGGATTTATAGACACTAATCATTATAGTGACCAATATCGATATAATTGTTGACACGAAAAACTAGTATTTTACCGATTCAAGCAATAATAACTGACCTTTGTTTAATTAGTTTAAAATATGTCATAAATTAATATTAATAAATGATATTTATAACTATTATCATAGAACGACGATATGTGAACAAAATGTAAATAATCTACAACCATTACGAAATTCGAATCTTTGAATATTATTTATAAATTTAATGGCGTTATGCAGAAAGCAACCATCCCAAAAATGTACTTTTTGGATATAGTTGAATGGCGTTATGCTAAAAGTAATTATCCATCAAAGTTATGAAAAACGAGAGTTTAGTAGAACGAGGTAGACAATTTTAGATTACGTATTTTACAAAATACAACCAAACCAACATTGAAGTGGAGTGCTATCTATCATTGTTTTAAAATTATATCCAAAAAGTACATTGCCTATATATAAATGTATATATTTATGTTATTTTATTTTACATTTCATCGTAATTAATGTACCTATAATTACTACATACTATACTAGACTATAATATTGACATATTATAGTCAATAGTGTATTATTTTCATCGATTAGGATTTCATGCAGAGCTGTGTTATCTTTAACTATCAAAAGTTTATTTAACACATTTTATGTATTTTTAGCTCATAAATGTTGAGATATTTTATATATTTTTGTATGGTATTTTTCATACGATTACTATTGTTTTCATTTTCCAATATATTTTTAAATTATGCATTATCATGAGATAGTTATTATAATATTATCATTAAGAAGTATAATATGCTATAATGAAGTTTGTTCTATTAGGCAATGTTTGTATGTCAATATTGTAAATGCCTTAAACACATTAGAATAATTGACTGTTAATATATTATACAAATAGACAAGTTCATTTTTAATTTTATTATCATATAACATCAACAAGTCAAACTAATAAATTAACAACTTAAAATACTTAGATGTAAGCGATATTTCAATGACATACGATTACTTATTTATAATATTTATAGTAGTCAACTATTGACAACATTTACTTTTCTCAGATACATAGAAGCAATATAATAAGATCACTGGTCAGAGGTTTTATTATCAAATATGGTAGTACCTCGTTAGTTATGATAAAGCGCTATATTTAAATAGGTATTTATACTTTTTTTTTGTATTAATCGCAAATAATACTCGCAGTTTCTTTTAATTATTAATACATTCAATATTACTAACTATACATAAAATAAAAACTGCTGAAAATCAGCTCGTAATCGTTCGTTGTAAATTATTATCTATAAAGAGATAGGTCGTATGATCAAATATGATCCGGATGCATGAAACAGTCTAATGGGTACGATAAACAAGTTTATATTTAATATTCATATAACTACTTAATAGTTAGAAATTAAATTTTTTTTTTAACGTACCTATAATTTGTGTTATGCATTGAAATTGATTTAATAGTTGTTAATAGCTATTATTAACTAATAATTAATTATCAATTAATAGTTTGTACTGTTGATATAAATACATGTGATAGATATATAAATAGCTTTGTAGGCTATGGGACTTCTTAAACCTTTTGTTTATTTCCATGGTTAAAGGAATCATACAGTTAGTTGACTTACATTTTTGGACATTTTAAATCGGAGAATGGACGGTTTTCTTTTGAGGGTTAAAATACATTTTTCTCGATCTTGGGGCTTTAAGGTTGAAACAACTTTTAAAGGACAGCATTGATTTTAAAATATATGTTAAAACAACGTTAATAGAAACGATAAATATTATATATATAATGTATATAAAGTTGAAAAGCATTCACACTTCCTGCACATATATGGAACGACTATTTATAATTAATCTTCGCACGTCCGGCGCGTCTGACCCTTAAGCGTTTACAGTATGAATACATAACAAACATTTTTCATGTAACGAAATCGTACGTATAATTTACATAGTAGATTTTCCTAGTAATAATAACTGTATAGGTCTGTTGGTAGCTCTAACAGTAATTACTATAAAGTGAGTAGGTTAATCTTTCACCGACTTTAAATTATAGTAATTAATAACTGTGTACTAAACAACTCACTCGATAGTATTAATGGCCGTTGGCCATGCGTTACCGATCGCCTATGACAATATAACTAAATCTGCAGGGAATGCGACGACCACCGCAGTTATCCTTGAAAAACCCCGGATGCGAATTTGTTCACTATTACACCGTTCTTCCGTCAAACAAGTACCTACGTCAACGAGTTCTCACTTATCAATAAAGCCAAAGAGGCATCTTCCTCTGTTGCGTCATAGTACAGTACCGACAACAATTGAAAAACTAATGCATATCTTAGAAAACTATTTAAAAGAGCGAGCATAACGAGGTAGGTGAAGTTGCAGGGCTGCGGGAATTAAAATGCTAAATGCGAATCTGTAGATAGTAAAAATATTAAATATCCATACAAATCATTGTAAAAGCAATAAAGTGTTCAAAATGGATTAGGGTTAATTGTCTATAATAATTTGTTACTGTTGTTACTCAAGACTACCGCATTATACAAGGAAGACATTGCATTTCTCCGTAGCAGATTCCCTACGGCCCTTGTAGTGTTGTTTTCTTTAAATTATTCAAATTATTATAATTATACATTATTAAGTTTCAGTACAAATGATTCATACTCGAGTTACCTAAATATGCCTTATTATATTATAAGTTGTATAAGCACACAGGTTAATCGATAATTATTTCAAGGAAATTACAAAATGTAAACAATCTAATTAAGTTTATTATTCATTTTTGGCATACATATCGGATATAAATGCTTGTATTGCATATATTTTGTAAAAAAAAAACCCCAGTTCCGGCTATTTATTAAGGGGCAAAATATAGGCATAATTTGATAGACTTATAGTGGTTACAGCCGTACAGGGTTAATATTAGGTAATTATTACAGGATTTTCGGTTATACGTGTATTTACATATTGGCTTTGCTAACGTTTTGGAAGCCTTTCGTTTTCTATCTTCAGGGCTGTGTTGCGTGCTAGGTTCTATGTTACTCGTTGCAACCTACAGGTATCAGCGGAACGAGTATCATCAAACCTAGCACGCAAAACTGCCCTAAGGATGGAAGATGAAAGGCTTTTGGAATGTTGACAAAGCCAATATGTAAATACACGTGTAACTGAAAATCCTGTAAATAATTTATATGTAGTGTTCTTGAAGACCCTTTAACTATATTAACAGTATAATATAACAGAGTATCCAAAATATATACTAAATTATACAGTAATACTGATGATCTATACTATAGATCATCTTTACATCTTGCATAATGTAATATCTATAGATATTACATTACGAAAGATGACCAGTTGCAAATTTTTTTTTACAATTTACTACACGAGAAAAGAGACCCGACTTGTAAAACCGTAACTTTTTGTTTAAATTTGGTTATATTTTACAGTTGTCAAATTTGATTAAAATAATTACAACCTCAGAAAAGTTCCTTTTAAGTAAACCATAATAATTTTAGTTTTAAAAGGTTATTATAGCATTGGAAATAGTAGTTTTGAAAATCGGTAAATCGTGAACTGTAGTTTGTAACATATTATCGAAATTTCCATTTAGGTGGAGTATGTTTTGTAGCAAAAATGACACCGAGACCGGTCGCCTTAATTTATTTTTTCCTCTAGTCCACTATTTTATTCCAATTTCCATTAATAGTGTACCTCGGTGTTATTCAATATTATTGCTTAGTATATTTATTTGGAACAAATTCATACAATACCAAAGTGTATCTAATGTATATAGTTTATTACTTACACACAATATAGTGCGTTATAATCATCTGTATGCAACATGAATAAATGTATAAACATTTTTTTATATAATTTTTTTTTAGCTTTTATTAGCAAATTAATTATTTTAATAACTATGAAATCAGACGGGGGTACTTTGTGATTTTTTTCACCATGGTTTTTAAATTTTATTTTGCAGATATAATACGAGTACATTCAAGGCCGTCCCATTGCGTATAAAGTAGAAGTACGTGTCGTATTCAGTCTTTGTCTAAAGGATCTTAAATAGTTGTCTTGAACACATATACAGCTAACAGCTGTAGATAATTGATCATCGATCGCAAACAAGTCATAAGATAAAGAAGACCGATTAAGTAATAATATATTGCACGTGTATAATAGCCAGCCAGGTCGGTGAGCTGTTCTTACGCGGGAAAACCTACACTCAATAATTATACAGGTAAAATATTATAATGGCCACGTGCAGCGATAGTGGTTTTTACGGGTTAAAGAATATCAGGCAAATGCAAGTGCTGTGGTCGATGCCTAGTAATTAGTATTCACTAAAAATAGATAAAATATATGCTAAAAATACATAACAATAGGAATTAATTGGCAATTATTTTTTAGCAAAAATGGTGAAAACCAAGACGAGACGACTATTGAATTGATAATCAACCATCGTTTAAAATTTGTAAATCTATATGAAAATTATATAGTATGCCAAATAATGTTAATAGTCTATACACTGTTTGATTTTTTTTTATGAATTTGATTAAAAAAATTGAATCCTTTTAATTTGTACAATGAAAGTAGTTCAATAATTAGGGACGTTAAGTAATTTTTGAACAATTTTTCTGGTTATTTTATTGTATAAATATATTCAATTAATTTGTATATGTGTTTGTTAATAGAATAAATGCATAATAGTAATTTACACATTATACATTTAATTATTCAAATTAAAATCATTGGCCTTTTAATTTATATGACACTAAATAGTAAATTGCCTATACTATGTATTTATTAATGATTTATCGAAACTAACGTCTAGCTATTTGATCTAAATATCTATTTCCATTTATATATTTTAATAAAAAAATAGAATTGAACACAAATATTTGTATACATACATTCGTATGCCATTGACAGTTGATGTTTTTTTAATTAAAATAAACGTTACATTGGATATATGTCTATAGTCTGTATTAGTTATTTTTGTCAAAATTGAAAATAATATATTTAATGCTTATTCGTCCTTTTATTATTTAAGGTGCTGTACAAGTATAATTTGTATTAATCATTCAAGAAATGAAAGCTCTCCAACATTTTTTTAAAAATATGTTCAAGATTTTACTTATTATTATTTCTTAACAATTTGTCCTGTCTAACTTCTTATTTAATATTAAACGAATATTATAGAAAAACAGAACAAATATGTATGAGGTGAGTTAACTCATCATCGTTATGTATAATAAAATGATAAGTATCAACCATTTATTGACATTAGTAAAATTAGGTAGGTACTGTATATTTTGTAATTATTATAATCATATGACGCTGAAAATAGCGTACACAACTGTTTCTTTGTAATGAGAAATTATGATCATTTTTAGAGATTAGCAGGTTATAGTCACACGGACTGAGTTGCTGACAAAAAGGATTCTTTGTGGAATAGTTTAATGAATTAAAAGTTTAATACTACGTAACTTAAGTTAAAGTTTCTTTATTATTATTTTTGTTACATTTTTAAGATAAACCTAATTTATTTTTAATGCTCGGCTCATAAAAAATAAGTTTGAGTTCTCTAAATGCCTTGAGTCTTAATAAAATAATTAATGTACCTATTCATTTAATTCACAAACAATTTATTTTTTCAGTCAAGTTTAGTGGGTTAGAAGTGCATTAATCTGCTTCAGTCAGTCACTGTAGTCCATGTTTCATAAGAGTATAATTTAAAACAAATTTTGTTCTAAATAATGTACTGTAAATAAATTGGAAATCGGTTAAGAAAATGTTGTAGAAAGTATGGAAGTTCTCGGTTAACGGAACTACTATTATACAACATACCTATTGGTTATCAAGACTACTGTACAAACCGTGTATGCCATTAACATTTTGTACAATTACGAAGTATTAAAATATAAAATAAAACCGTAAAAAAAAAAATCATCATCATTTAAAAAAAAAAATAATTTATTTAAAGCGGATATTGAATTAATATGGTATTATTAAATGTTAACATTAGCAGAACATGAATTGGTCGAAGTATGACTAATTAATGATACTAGCCGACTCACTAAATTGTTTTTAAACACTGTCCGTTTCCATGATTCCTCAATATTTTGTGTATGATCACCTGTATTTAGGTCCACATAATGACAAAAGTATAGGAATGATACACAACCTAATAATGTCTCACAATAATTGTGCTATTATAATCTTTGGTATATGCAGATTGTAAATATAGATTCTGTATTGATTGTTGTTGTTATTTATTGTCTTTTACAAAATACAGTTATTTTTATAAAAACTTTAATAATTTTCAAAGATTAAAATATTTTTTGTACATGACGTGATCGATTTAATAGTTAATAAAACTAAATATTCGAGTAAATTGTTTTTAGGCGGCTATAAGCTCCCATAAATTCTCCCTAGATTTATGCCAATGCCATATGGCACTATTCCTTGAAAATATAACTACTGGGTGTTATTTGCAAACAATTCATCTAGGCACACGCATGCACGCAATCTTACAAAAAATCCACAACTTGAGCACATGATTTTACTTATTAATTTAAAAGAACCTTCGAACCATTATTGTTTTTTTTTTCGAAAAAGAGCTATTATATGGGCAAGTCAAGGACTTGTCCAGTGCAAAATACCTACCTATAGTTTACAATCACGCACAGACCATCTGTATATTCAGCATTAGCGTTGCTTATTTAATGTGTTTAAAATTGTATCGATTAGCTAAAATCTAAGTAGGTACTTGCTTATCCCGATAGAACAATATTAATGTACTTACATAGTACTATTGTAGACAATAAAACTAAAGAGTCTATAAACATAAATTCTTTATTATAGACACTAAACATATGGTTAGGTACTGATAAAAACGTGTGTAACTATTTTATATATAATATTATTATTGTAAATACATACCTATTTATAAAGTTTTAGTAAGGTACGACTAACGCCTACACAAATTCTACCTACTCTTACTAAAAAAAGTATAAAATAAACGTCAAGCTTATACTTATGTCATATTAGCTTTTTAAATAGTAGAAAATTGTTTAATTTCTTCCAATTATACAGGTTGAGTTGGGATTTATAGTTATAATGACAACTATAATTGTATCGTCTAGTCTAAATTCTAAACTATCTTAATTGGAATTATGTTTAATCCTTACGTTTTTCTTTAGCTTAATTCGTTTTGAAAGGAGATGAAAATAGAAGAAAAATGAAATCACCCTACACGTTGGTACTGTTATCGTTGGTCTTGCAGTTGACGTTGACCATCGTCATTGCACAGTGGGACCGGCAGGTCCATCCTTGCGAGAGAGAATGTGTTGTAAACGGACTGTCCAAATTATGCGAATACCATTTCAAAGTTGAATGGTACTACACAATGAGCAAGGCGTGTTACGACTGTCCGTTCAACATGACGGACTGTTACAGGGCCGACTGTGTGCCGGCTGATGGCGTTGGGAAACCGATTATTGTCATTAATAGAAGTCTCCCAGGACCTTCAATACAAGTAAATAAATTGTGTACGCTCAAAATCACGCCAACTGTTGTTTTTCCCACGTCCAAAAAAAAAAACAAATTAGCTTACATTTTTCGGTTGAAAAGCTTTATCTAATGTCAACGACGATAGACAATCCATAATGTAACCCGTGCACGATCAATGGTTGTATCGCCGGAGTCCAACGTGGAACGACCGGTGTCATTGATATAGAACGCGTAATTGGGTTTTCAACAATGGACGAGCGTTCTTTGTTTAAAATAGCTTTACTTTGAAAATTTGAATACGAGCATATTGCAAATAAGTTTACATTGAAAAAGTTTTGATACAATTTGAACACGCTAGCACATAATTAATATGTCTATTTCAAGGAGGAATATCATACCTAATCATTCATCCATTGCCAATAACTCTTTATGATAACTCTTCCTTGTTAATAAGCTTCATTAGTTACACTATTGAGTATTGACTATGTTAAAATCGGTTACGGTGCACACAGTACAATGACAGGATGGGCTTTTCCGCAATGTTCGTGTACTGTTCAATACCTGTATCGTTGAATGTGCGGTGAACTTGAATTTTCTTTACGTAGTAGCTACTGTATAGATGGATTGCCTTCAACCATTGTTGACTTCTTTTGAAACCGTACAAATAAATTAATTTGTATAAGGAAGTGTCCAATTATACTGGCCGAACACCAATTAATTTACTAAAGCATAATAACCAATGACCAAATAGATTTTTCGTAAAATAAAATTTGCAAATAATAATGTATTTTAAAATATTTTGTATCTAAAATTTCAAAATTTAACATCCTACTACGTGAAACTAGACAGGTGTAGATATATGCGTTCTAACCTATCACCTATATCCTAGTATGTAGTGCGAATCATAATGTATTCGCCTAATAAAACGGTTACCGATGACATATTTTAGGTGTGTTTGGGAGATACTGTAGCGGTGACAGTAGAAAACGCGATGATGGAGGAATCTACATCGATTCACTGGCACGGTCACCATCAAAGAAACTCGCCGTATATGGACGGCGTACCGTACGTGACGCAGTGTCCGGTGCCACCGCATTCGTCGTTCCGGTACTCGTACGTGGCCGATAATGAAGGCACACACTTTTGGCACTCGCATTCTGGGTGCCAGCGGGGTGATGGCGTTTTTGGATCGTTCATCGTTCGCGGACCCAAGGAGCGCGATACGCACAAGGATATGTACGACATAGATGAGCATGTGATCACCATTGTCGATTGGGTGCACGAGTTGGGCATACGCAAGTTCTTGGCGCATCACCATGGATCGGGCGACAACAAGCCTGACACATTGTTGATAAACGGACATGGACGGAAAGGGTGGTTTGAAGACGATGTACGTACGCCCCTGGAGAAGTTCGACGTAACCAGAGTGAGTCTTCTTCTTCTTTCTTATAACAGAGACAATGAGCGCACTGCGCATGTGATGCTATTATAATAAAACAAATAAAGCAACCGAACATTTTAAACCTACATAGTAGTAACATAAATTATTTGATGAGTCGCATGACGCCAGAAAAGCCTAACCCACAAATCTATTATTCAAGAAAAAGCCAATTATAATTTTTTAAATGCTAATTCCAAAACAAAATTCTGTCATTTAGCGGATCAATTTTCTTTAAGGTTTTAATATATACCTACATATGTTTGTCTGACTTTTAGGCATTAGTACACCATTCATCCGATCGCCATAAAACTTTTGGAAGTTGAGTACACTCCCTCGAAGATTTCTGGCATAGTACTTTTCGAAAATTCTACCCCTAAGGGTGGCCTCATACACGAATTTTGTACTTTAAATACCTACGAAATATTTTTAGTTGCTAATCCAAAATAAACACTTCGTTTGTATCCATGGTAACCATGGTACTTGAGCAAATGGTAGAGGATGATTAAAGGAACAGGCAGATTCTATGTACCACAATTCTGAGGACGCTATTAAACATTTTCACGATTGGAACTGGATCTGGGACTGGACTGGGACTGGGACTGGGACCCTTGTTAACCCAAAATAAAAATTTGGTATGTAACCATGGTAACCACGGTACTCGAGCGAATGGTAGGTGATGATTAAAGAAAAAAGTTTTTCAGCCGAGTATGCAACCACGAAAGAGCATTTTCATGTCTCGTTGAAGTACCGAATAAATTTATATTAGTTGTAGAATTATAATTAAAAAAAAAATATATATATGGAGCTTCCAGTTACAGCATAAGGCCAAGGAGATTAAAAAATTATGTACAATCAAGTTTCTAGCTAAAATTGTAGTATTTATTATCTGGCCAAAAGTAACTTAACATAGAGAATTCAACTATTTTGAATTTATTATTTAGTTATATTTTGAACGTTGAACGTACAACATATGTTATCTTATCTCATATCAGATAACAGCGTAACGCTTTTTTCGGTAACACTTTTTTTCGGTTATGTACCGGCTAGTTCTCACCCCTATCTCCCGTCCCCAACCTCATCTCCGTGTGGTAACGCTTTTTTCGGTTATTTGCCAGGGTTATGTGCCAGAGCTAAGACATGCAAATGTCAACAGACAGATTCTGGGGACGCTATTAAACATTTTCACGATCGGAACTGGGACCCTTGAGTAATAGGGGGACATAATTAATATAATGTAATGTACATATGAAGATCTTAAAAAAAACCGAGACGGGGTATGCTAAAGTTTACTATTTACAACCTAAAATGGAGTACTGACTTTTTTAAAATCTTATTTGTAATTATTTTACTAAGCCCTGGCAACGCCGGGTCGGGACAGCTTGTATATTATATAAATTAATGCAATAACACGAAATTACATTTTTTGTGGTTTAAGCTATTCTGGCCTTAAGCCCTCATTTGTATGATTATTACAGTAAAATTAAGCTTTCTCAGTCTTAAACTAGACTAGAACAATACTCAACTAAACTGATCGGTGTTACTCTGTCTTACTGAAGTGAGGTTCAAAAAACTAAAAATGTTGAATTTATAATAAAAAGCTCAACTGTACTTTTACATTACTTTTATGATTTTGGATTTCAGGGAAAACGATACAGGTTCAGAGTGATAAACGCCGGATTCTTAAATTGTCCAATCGTAATGAGCATAGATAATCATACATTCACAGTTATTGCCACAGACGGGTATAACATTCGGCCAGTCGTAGGTAATTCAATCAACATTAAACAAAATGATAGTTTTATAACAGCACTATATTTCATTCAACACAAAAAAGACTAACAATATTATAATATGTACATAATTTCAGTTGACTCATTTGTCAGCTATGCCGGCGAACGTTGGGACTTTGTATTAGAAGCCACATCCGAAATTGGAAACTATTGGATGCGTTTTAGAGGTCTGATGGACTGTGATGAACGGTTTAACAGCGCATTTGAAGTGGCTATTTTACACTATGAAGGAGCTGATGACGATGAACCTCCTGGTGAACCTACATACGAGAATTCTGAGAACCCTGGAATCGTAAGTATTACAAGTTATTCACATTACAAAAATATTTCTTAAGATTAAGTAAATTTGTGCTTAAAACTGTTATTATAGCAACTGAACGCATTAAATAAAGGACCCGGTTTAATGGACTCTGCTACTGTGTCAGAATTAGAAGATGCAACAGAATTGGTAAATGATCGTCGACTAGTGTTAAAACCAGATGTAACGCTATATATGTCTTATGATTTTTATTCCATTGATAATCCACACTACCATAAGCCAATGTTATATGGATTTAAACAAGGTAAATGTGGAATTAAGAGAGTACTGTATAATATGATTACCTATATATATATATATATATATATAATTGGAATGTTTGTTTTTGTTAGTTTTACATAAATCAGAACGTCTTTATACCCCACAAATAAATAAAATGACTTTTAAATTACAATCATTCCCATTACTATCTCAAAGAGAAATGATAAAACCTGATATGAGCTGTGACAATATAAAGAAAAATTGTTCAAGGGAATTTTGCGAATGCACTAATATAATTAAGGTGCCTTTGGGATCAGTTGTTGAATTGTTTCTTATAGATAAAGGTAAATAAAAGGGAACAAAAGTTATTAATATTTTTAACACATTGTTATTACTTTACGATTTTATTTTAGGAGTTACATTCAATGCAAACCATCCATTTCATTTACATGGACATCCATTTAGGGTTATTGCGATAGATAGAGTAGGAAACCATACTTCTGCTGAAGAAATAGAAAAATTGGACAAAGCAGGAAAAATTATGCGAAATTTACGTAATGCTCCTCTTAAAGATACAGTAACAGTACCTGATGGCGGATTCACAATAGTACGGTTCATAGCCGATAATCCTGGTAATGTATTTATATGAAATAATAATTATGAAAATTTTAATTTATTTTATGACTTCTCGTAATTTTAGGTTATTGGTTATTTCATTGCCATATAGAATTTCATGTTGAAGTAGGAATGGCAACTGTATTTAAAATTGGTGAAGACTCCGATATGCCTCCACCACCTCCAGGATATCCAAAATGTGGAAATTATGATGCAAACGAATTCCTTTCATTTTCAGATATTGATAATAATGTGCCATCTAAATCAGATATAAATAAATATAACCATAGTAATGATTTAGGAGAAGGAATCAAAGTAAATTCTAGTGATGAGGACATAATAAGTACGTTAGATAAATGGTGGCCATTTGTAGGTGGAGCACATCCATACGTATCGAGTAATAGTCGTACTAATACACCACTCGTTAGTAGTTTAATAGGTTTTTTTATATTATTATTTTTTTATTATAACCAACATTTATGATATATATATATATATTGTACTTATAAATTTTGAATTATAATTTTCTGTGATAGATGTAAATAAAACAAACTATGTACTTATTATTTATTTGTAATATCGTTTTCAGTAGATGTTTGACCTTCTATCCTTTTATCGTGTTCCACCAACACAGTAGGTCGATCATATTGGAATACAATAGACTCTTTTGCTTCTTTAATGAAAAATCTGAAAAAGAAAATCCAATTATTAGGTAACAACTATAATTTTTAAATTGAGTTAAATTTAAAAATACTTACGCTTCTCTTTCTTTCTCAGATTGGTTTTGCCATTCTTTTAGTTCTTCCATGCTTAAAGGAGAAAATTTTAACAATAATAAAGTAGTCCATCCAACTATTATGCCCAAAAAACCTCCTGTAATGAATAATATTTAATAGGTATTAGTTATAATATAAATTAGTTATAACCATGATTGAAATATACAAGGTTATTGCACATATACCCCTTCTTCATCAAATATGTTAGCGTAACAGGCTGACAATCAAAATCAAGTATATAAGTACACGGTAAAATATACAGTAGTAGTAAAGTATATAGGCAAGGGTATAAGCATACCCTTGGTTTAAGCAGTTCACCCCGAAGGGCTCCCATACGACCGCGGACCAACTAGTAGCGCTGTGCGCTAATTGCGGGCCGGGGAAAGGTGTGTCTCAAGTGAAGTGGTCCTGTAAAAAGGCCATTTAGCGTTCGGCTTCAACATAACTTTAGTCGCCTTTTACGACAGGTGTGAGACACTTGGAAGAATTCTTTCTCCCTTATCCACAGGGATGGTAAAATTTATAGTAAAATTGATATCCGTTATACTGCTATTTTATTTCAGAAAATGTAAAACAGTTTGAGATAATGTGCAATGGCCTGTATATATCTACCATAGTTATAACTTATAAATAATTATTCTTTATTTTTTCATTAATAATGATATTTATGTATGTAAATGCAGAATACTAAAAATGCATACAAATTATACTACACCATAGTAATTGTTCCTAGCAGATATTAATACAGAAACAATAAATAATTTTTGTGTTCTATATTATAATGTAATTTTATTTATTTCAAGAATATAACTTGATAAGATAAAATAAGTGGAAAATTGTTCTATAAATATTTTTTTAATCTTAAAAAAATCACATATAAAAAAATAATTTACCCAATGTGGATCCAATAATTAAACCTCTGATCCCTAAACTTATTCTAGCGACTCCACCAATAATAACTCCAGCAGTTAAATAGCTAAGAGCTGATACATCATTTAAGTAGGCATTCATGACAGTTACAATGGTCCTGAAATACACATAGTAAAAATCAATATAATGTGTAATATTATATTAAATATTTGTTATTAGAACCATTCATAAGAATTTGATTATCAAGATTATAGCTAAATTTGTTTTTGATAGTTAATTTAATTTTCAACAGTGAACAATTGGTAATGCTTACACAAAACAACCACAAAATATACCAATTCTTGTTCCCCATTTAAATATGCCTCTTGCCATAGCTAAACTAACAGCAGATTGAAGTTTTGCCTAAAAATAAAAAATTAATATAGTATGAGTTAATTCTGGATTATTTGATTAACAATTAATCAAAATTTTAATATTATAATTATACATAGGTGATGGTGTCTTTTTGCTTTTAAAACATGCTCTACGGAAATAAGGAATTCCTGATTTGTAGAGATCGGATTTATATCATTTTTTTAAAAATTATATTAGGTATACTATAGGAATTTTATTTGTATAGAGAATTAAATAAATTAATATAGTTTTAGTATTATTGTAGTTTTAATTTTATTACTTTCGCTTCAAATTGATTTTGAAAGAGGGTTGCTTGATTTTTGGCAAAAAAATCATCATATGCTCGTTTACTATATGAAAAACTTCCGTACACACCACCTAATAATGCACTATAACATATCGTTGATGTTATAGCTCTAATATCTGCAGATGGATTTCCATCATCACTAAAAATAAGATATATATTTTATTAAATAAAGTAGTGTTTTAAAAAATAAATAGATGATATTAAATCTTTACTCGTGTTTGAAGGCATTTTTTACACCCTGCCAGCCGCCTACTTTCTTGTTGTTTAAAATTCCAGTTCCAGCTACATCGTGCACATTTTTATCAAAAAAAATTGCAGGTAAGAAACATCGAGTATAAGTAAACCTCCAATTTAACTTATACATAATTTACTCTGTTACTTATAACATAAGAAAATAGTTTATAAATAATTTACTACTCGGAAACAATAAAATAGTTTACAAACTACAACTGTATAACATAGACAGAAATCAGCCACTAAAATATATCAGAAATAAGCGACTTAAGTATAAATATTAAATTATTTATTATTATAAGGATTAGAGTAAATTGTAAAAAGTTTAAATTGTTATCAATTATAAAACTGTTATCATTAATTTTTAAAAATTTGGTCAACTTGAAGAATTTTGGGTTATAATTCATGGAGATATATTTGTTTTCCATACCATGCCACCGGTTTATATTATCTAGAATTTGAAAAAAATTAACATTTAATTATCATTTTTTACAATCAAGTATTTAACGTATTGGTCAAGGTGGATTTATTTAGAAGTATGTGTAGTATTATTATAGTATGTTGTCATAGATACGTATAAGGTCACTAGGTAATAAATAATAATACTCTGTATAAGTTATACTCAATGGTATAAGGTATAATATGTAAAAGATCTATGTACGTTGCCCAAAAAAAAAAAAAACTATTTACGCCTGCAAGGTTATTAATTTTTCAATTTTATTTTAATCATCATATGTTGAAAGTTCATATTCGTAGAAACGGCTTTTAATTAATGTTTGGACAATTTTGATATATTATATATAGTGTATCTGTGTGCACCTACCATAGACCTATAAAGATACCCGACAAAATAATGAAATACATATCCTTAAATGCTTTACAACTTCGTATAACACAATGATAAATAATAATTAAATATGATTTAATTATTATATATTTCCATTTGGTGTATTGTCATATATATAAAAATTATTATTATTCCATGTCTTTTTAATTTTTATTCCATGGACAACCTTACAACTCTATCTATCTCTTTCTAACGTTGTTCATAACGCGGCAGTATAGGCGGTGTGTGTGGGAGGCGCAGTCCATATCTTTATAGATCTATGGTACCTACTTGCGATTAATGGAAAATCTTTATCATTATTCTTATCATTATTTAAAATAATAAATTATTTTTTATCAGTGTCCGGGGCCTGGTAATATGTTGTTTAGCGTATTATTAAATATTTTATATATATGTAGGTTAATGTATTAAGTTGGTTGTAGTCTGCTGTAGAAATAAACAGCTATTAAAATTATAATTTTTTTTAATGTTTTTAATCATAATTTTTTACTTATTTATTAAGAAAAATGTCCAACCAAGAAGAAATTATCCATACATTTTTCGTGCATTTATCTCAATCTAATTACGATAGAGCAAAAGACTTTATGGTATTTAATATTTATTTATACATTTATATTTATGTATGTACAGGGTCTATTGTTTTCATTATGTTTAAAGAGTGAAGAGGGGAGTGTAGTATCAAATTTGTATGATCATAATTTAATCTACCGAAAATCCTTAATATTCTAACGGCCCTATACTTACATGTTTGCATTGTATTATTTATTACTAATATACAATTACTTATCTAATTCAAGGAAAAGCAGCGTACTATGTTACTAAGTTATACTTGGCCAAAGTCATTGTTTGATATTTTATGTGATTTTGCTTTAGCGGAAAAGAATTATTCCGATACCAATTTTGTACCATCAAAGAGCAAAATGTTTGTTCGAAGAGATGATGAAGTATTTTGTATTATAAATATTACACTTGTATTTGGATGAAAAAACCTATTTTAATAATTCAATATTTGCAGAATTATCTTAGATTTGTGTACAAAACTTTAATTCAAGACTTGGAAAAACTGAAACTGCTAGTAACCAATGGCCATGTGATACAATTAATTACATCTCTTCTGTATTATATGTCTGTCAGACTTAAACTTCTTGAATTGTATGATAAAATATACACCATTGGATCTGCAAACACTTTCATAGATTTTAGTGAGCTAACAGAAAAGGCTGAACTAATTCAAAATCATTATAACCATCAATCTCCAATAGACGACATTCTGAAAATTTTACAGTAAATAAGTGAAGTGTTTTTATTGTTTCTGTTTGTTTAAAGAAAATACTTTATAGACTTTTATTTGTAGGTATGAACATGATTGTCTAAAATATTTATTCAAATGTCATGATAATTTAGAAAACTGGAGGTATATAGAAGCATTAATAAATTTAAAAAGAGGTTGTGATATATTTTATGTATGGGAAAAATGCTTTCAAAATAAGGAGGTAAAAATTAATTAAATACAATAAAAACAGTAAAATTAAGATATTAATAAAAGGTCACAAATAAAAACAAATTTGTATAAATTAAAATTCATCCTAAAATTTTTTTTTACATAACATCTACAATATTATGATTTGACTTATTTTAGTGTATTATAGACATAGGTGCAATTAGAGGGGGTGCTGGGGAAGTTAAATCCTTCTAATTTCGTTCAGGGTCTAAAAAAATGTCAGCAGCCAAACGGACACAACCCTTGAGTATGGTTTATAATTTTTTCTAAAATTCTAAGGGAGCTTTTAGACTTTTTTTAAAAGATTAACTTCTTCAGCACCCACTCTAGTTGCATCAATGATCATAGGCGCAATTTCAATTTTTAATTTGGGGGGGCTAGACATTTTTTTATAATATATATATAAGTAAATATATTTTTGTATTTCAAAATTGTATGCATAACCTAATTTTTTTGGGGGGGCTAAGCCCACCCTAGCCCCCCCGTATTTGCGCCTATGCCAATGATTATAATGTATGTCTATGTTCCCTGGGCTAAGTTTAATATATTAAGTATATTATATATTTTTTAAACATTTTGTGTATCTACTATTGCTATTTTGAGAGGGATGAGATTTAAATCATACATGTTCTGGCTTAATCTTATGCTACAAGAAAGTGTAACTAATGATAATTATTATACTATTCTAAGCTTAAAATAATTTTTAGACATGGCGATTTGGTTCATCATTTTTAAACAAAAATACATTTCCAGCATTATTTTTATGGCATAAAAAATTTAAACATTTAACACTTTCAAAATTTACTTTGTATTTCTACGCAATACTTTTGCAACAAAGCACCTTACAAGACATGAAAAACTTGTGTAACACACACAATGTTCATTTTTTTTCCAAGTACGTAAATATATTTTTAAGTTAAACAAATTTTAAAGATTTTGAACGTTTCAGAATGCAACAGTTACAAAAAAAATCTGAAGCACAAGCTGTGATATTAGTATTTAGTTCTTTTGGTTTAACAGACTATAGAGGTCCTGGTTATTGTAGTCCTACTAAGGAACCATTAGATCCATACATTAAACACCAAGTAATGCTCAGTTATCCAAAGGTATAGTATTGTATCTAAAATGTATGAAGTTTTTTGTAAATAAATCATTTATGTGTATATTAATTAAAGAATTTTGTTGAATAGGTTCCTGTTCATTTAGATACTATTGAACAACTAATATCAGATAAAATTGATGCAGATAAGTCATTCAATAAGGTCATATGGGCAAATTTTTCGACTGTAAGTTTTAAATATTTTTTTAACACACTTTTGACATTCCCATTGATTTGGCTTTACACTTTAGTATAGATAATATTTTATGCATTGTTAAACTGTGTTTCATTTTTAAACTAAACTGGTAAGAATGGAATATGGCAGATCAAAAGACGCATACATGAGATTGATAGCTTATAATAGCTAACTAATAAAAACTTGGAGTATATTTGAATGTATGTGGTTAAGTATAGGATACCCTTCACTATTAAAATTATAATATTTTTTGTAATATGTAGTATTATTTTGTATATAGTAGTATACGCGTTTTACGGTAGCAAGATTAGCGCTCGTAACAGACAGATAACCCTCAGTATGTTGTTAGTGTGATCACGCTAATTTGAAACTCATTCTTTTCTTTAATGCCTTCTAATGTTTGTTATGTTAACATAAATATATTATAATGTGTCTTAAGCCGATGGTCTGTGGTGTTAACGCAGAGATTAATTGGTAAAAAAAGCCTAATAATAATGTGCCTTATAATTAATTTTGTAATTTCGTTTCAGGGTGCATATTTGTTAGCTGCTGTTGATTTGAGAGTGACTTTAGTGATGTTGTATGAACGTCGGCCTAGAAGTGAAGAACGTGATAAAGTAAATGTTAGTGACTTTGTATCACAACTACGTTGTCACAGGCATTTCCTAACTATTTACAAGTAAAAGTAATGCTGTGTCAATTAATTTATCTCATGTTTGTGTCTTCCTTTTTCAAATAATAATGATGTTTAATATTTGACAATGCCTTTCCCATGGCTTATTGTGTAACTACATTGTATATTACCTATGTTCAAATCTTTTGAATAATTTATTTATTAACACTAATTTAGAACCAAAGAATAATATCTTTTTAAATTTATTGATTATTATTATGAAACAATTTTTAAAAATAAATATGACTGACTATTAATTGTTAATAATGTGTACATATTTAAAAAAAACAATATTTGTTTCTTGATTGCAATTCTAAAGGTCTTTTTTCAAATTTTATACAAGAAAACTTATTTTATTTGGCTATTAAACTTCATCGAGTTCATCAAAATCAGATTTTGTTCTGTACTTTTTGGCACAACAAATAATATAGTCGACAAAATGTCTATCACGGTTTTCTTTTATGTACGCCTCTGCATTTTCACAGCTTTCTGGGTAACCTATATAATAAAATATGTATATTAATCTATTTTTAATCTTGTTAACAACATAATATTATATTGTAATTTACATACCTGTATGGTCATGTAAAAATTTTACTGTCAAACTGCTTTGTATTCTCAACACCTTTGTAGAGTTCATTTTATTCCACATAAACGGACCTAACCAGTAACCCCAAATGTAAGGTGAATCTGTGTGGTTTTCATGTGAGGTGTTTTTAATTGTGTACAACTCTCGTATTCCTTCGGAATAAAAGTACTTGCGAAGCATGGCTACGTTTGATGGCAAGTGAAACGTTTGTGAATTAAGAAACAATATGGGTTGTTTTATGCTCATAAGTGGTACACATTTTAATGGAGACATCCAGCCGTCAACAATAATAGCAGCTCTGTAAATATTTAAGAATAAAAAAGTTAAATACGATTATCTAGATACCAGAATACTATACATCACTCTATTTAAAAACATGAATTATCAGTAAATAATTTACTGTCAAAAAATTATTTATGTAATACTGAAATTTATAAAAATTACGTATTATTTTGTTATAGTAAATTGACTATAGAGTGATCAATTTATAGAAGTCCACTCATTTTCTAAGATAATAGTATTATAAATAGATAATAGTAAGATAATTAGATAATAGTAAGATATAGTGAACTTAGTAGTTTATTTTATCAAAAATATTCTAGTTTATATTCTTTAAGTTTTATTTTACATTGTTTTTTAATGATTACTTTTTCCTGAATTGTATTGACTTTTTAAACTCAAATGGAAACAAATATTATTTATTACATTAAAAAATCAAGGAAAATCAAGGTACTTACTGAAAATCTTGACTGGTTATGTCCAGTTTTAAATTATTTTTGTGAATCTTAGTACTATAGATGCCGCATTAGTATTAGTATTCAAAATTTAAGGGGTGAAAGGGAGGTTTTAATAAATTACAAATTAAAGTAAATATAACGAGTATTCAATACTAAATACTTTGTTTTGTTATTAATAGAGAAATATTATGTTAAATTGATTTCCCTGAAGACTGAAGAGTGTACCATATATAATTATAATTTATATAACTAATGTTGTTCCAAAGTGTATTACTTATCAGAGTATACTTTTTACATATTTCTTAATTTTTTTACTTTAAGTTACAAAAAACTTGATTGGTTTTATAAACCGTTATTTTACTATCGTAATTGATCCAAAACCCGGTTTATAGACCCAATAAAATAATTTCCATCAAGGGTCTATTCTTGAATATTTTAGCATAGGACCATATATATAATGTATATATGGTACATATTGTAAAAATAGTCAAGTTTGTGAGCCCGTCTCGCGAAGAGGGAAACGGGATTTTAATTCCATAAATATAATATCTTATTATATTGAATAGATAGTATTAGATGGTTTGAACGAATGTCTATTTTTTCGAACTTTCCGTCTTTGCCCCTTACGTTATGATGTTAATATACATAAGCTGATACTTACTTTATGCGGTTGTCATTGGCCGCAGCGTATATCGATGTCATTCCGCCAAAAGAAAACCCTGACATAACTATATTTTCTATACTCAGTTTACCCTGTATATACACATGTTGCAATAATTCAAATTTTCTTTTTATATTTTAGTTAAGTTTTTGTTCCTACTTTAAACTGTGTCAAATCGAACGGCGAATTTAGTATATTTGTAACATGGTCGCCATTGTTCATTTCAGACAAGATATCCAGGACTTTACAAATTTCTTTGCATCTGATTTTTACCTAAAAACATTAGTTCCCGATATCAAGTTATATTATTTTGACCCGTAATCAAAAATGTCCTACGAACTTGGCTATTTCTGATTATATGACGGTGTACGTCATAGGTTTTGTACAAAGACTCGTACTTTATCCACGTTTCACTCTTATTCAGTACGCTCTCTGGTGAATCGTAATAGTATGTGGCGGCTGCAGACTTATCTCTAAATTAAGGATAATGTTTAATGTTATTAGTCGATGAATGACGATGAGTTTGTATTAACCTTTATTATATTATCATGACACATTTTAAATTACAATACTAAATAGAAATCTATCCCACATATACGGTATACCTCATATTTTCTAAATATTTTGTTTAGATTCTGCAAACCTTGAATAAGTGAAGGTATACATTTCTGTTAAGGATATATAATTGAATTACCTATGTCGTTATAAGAAAATATGAGATTGAGACTAATATTTTGGGGTAGGAAATTCATATAAAAATTAAAAATTAATTATATTCAATAAAGTATACAACTGGTAAATTAACAACGAATGAACAGGAAAAATGCCTCTTTAATGCAAAACTACTTTTGAATAGTTCATAATTGTTTTACTATAATTAGCTGATTTAGTTTAATTTTACAATTTTATCATTTTAAGATGAGAAATTAATCAAAATATAATATGTTGTTTTTAGTAATTAGTATTGATCATGTAGCTGATATAGAAATTATTTCATGTTTACCTGTGTTCAACTGCGGCCACTACAAAGCCATAGGATGCTATTGAATTACAATATTCTGAGCACAAGAATTTAGTGGCTGCATATCCATGGGAAAATATAAACAAAGGATACGATTTTTGTGCTTGTGATAATGGTGCATTACTAATAGTCGGAATAAAATACGGTTCTAGAAATAAAATAAAAATTTCGATTAGAAATAATGTGAATTATATAATCCTCTGTATAATCCTTATTACTAACATCGTTTCTTGTATTTTTAATAATTAAATTATTGATGACTTAATTAAACAAATGTCGAATCTACAAAATTAAGACTTTACAGAAAACTATTTAAAAGTTTTTTCTTTAAATTTGTTTACAGTATTTGATACGATTTTTAGCGTTATAAATATGAATTAATTTAGTTCCGTGTTTTTAAAAACCTTCCTATTCTTTATCAGATTATACAGTAAACACATTTTCACTAAAAATGTTCTTACAACATTTTTCAATTAGGATATATTAATTTTAAATAAATAATACATTAGACAACAATTTTAGTTAAAGTATCTTTTATATCATTTCTCTTTGTTCTGGTTATAAACTGAGTGAAAAAAATCAAGAAATAGGAGGTTAATACTTGATGCTATTATTTTTGGAACCTTAGTGAAGGGTAAGTTAGACTAATGTCTCGAAACGAGGTTTAAGAAGGGAATTAAACTGTTCTTGTTTGGGGTTTTGGATACTTAACGATGAGAAATATTGTTGTTTGTTATCGAGTAATGAACTATGTACAATAATATACATTGTATATTATGCAAGGCAACCATTGAAACTGGATGTGATATTTAGAGCAAAAGGCTCGTTTGATTGGGGACTTAACCTGATATTATAAGCGTATTAATGTATTTAATTTATTTACATCGAGATGTAAGGACTTTTAGCCGCAAATTTTAATTGTTTGACTTCTTAAATATATCATTTTATAGATAATAATTCATATTTTTTGATCTTGCTACAAAATGTTATTAAGAATTTTATATAATACTTTATTTTTACTTTGTCTTATTAAAGTTTGGCCGTGTTTATATATGAAGAACGGTGTTTTGTTCGCATTAGCAAATCCTTTTAAATACATTTCATGCGGCATCCATGGTACCCATTTGTCCGAGTATTTCTAAATATAACAGTTATTCAGTATTATTGAGTTTCATAAATACCATACATTGAACATTTATATTGTTTGTGTGTAAGTCTATAGAATTAAAAATGTCTTATAATGATAAACTTATTTAAAGTGAATCGTGAATAAGCTACAAACATCCTAACAGCAGAAAAAAGCGATCTTAAAGATAGCTGAGATAGTTTTATATGAGCAGTCAATAAGGTATTTAATGTGTTGCCGGCCAATACAAGGATGAAAATGGTTTAAAATGTCTAAAGTAACAGCTGTCTTATTATTAGAGATCCTAAATGCGTGACCTGAATTAATTTAAATTTAAGTTGATTTCTTAAATGAGAAGGGAAATACAATATTATTATATCTAGCTGGTAACAATGTTATTTTACCTTTTCTCTCGAAAATCGAATATTTCTCCTAAATATTTAGATAATCTAGACAACGAGAATCAAGATTTATAGTTTTTTAAGAACTATTTAAAAATTTGTACTATTAAAAACTGACTACACTGTTTTGTTTTACAAGCTATTAAAATATTAGTGAAACTTGTTAATAGGTTGTATTAAAATAAATATATACATAACGTCGAAACAAAAATGAATACTTACGTCTAACTTTTCAGGGGAGATGTCTATGGGATAGAATATCCTGAAGAAGCACCCTTCAGGACTATATTCCGTCATCAGTTCAACACTGCCTGTAGCGTAAGGGCCTAAAATGTATTTGAGTATGTATTTGTAATGTAATTGAGTACAAAATATAATATACTAGGTATAAATTAATAATAATAATTCTTAACTATATATAATATGTAATTGTGTAATACGATTAAATAGTAAACTCTTTGTAGGTATGTATGTATTATTTTAGAAATTGAATAATCTATGAGGTGTATAAACATTTTTTCTTGATACCTACTGGTTTCTTGATAATTCATGTACTTACCCAAAGGATAAGGCAAATGGCGTTTATTCATTTTTTTCGCTTCCGTAAATTCAGCAATAAAGGACTTCACTTATTAACTGTATTCGACAAGACAAACTAAGCAGTTTACATGCTTTACGTTTTTTTGTCATTTGTTTTGGCTTAGTAGAGGTCATACATATTTATACAAAGATGTGCCTATAGTATGCTAATTACTAAATATATTCGTGTATACATTTTAAAATTAAAAGTCGTGGGTTTTTACAACAGCTTATAATTTAGGTACGAAAACGACATTCTCAGATTTGCATTTGAAATGTTGACAGGGAATTTAATATTTTTGTCGTTTCAAAAGTTTTACGTTATCATTAGTTTGGCTATATTAGCTACAACGGTGATATTTAGGTTGAAATAAATAAAAACAAATGTATCGTGTCGCGAAGATTTTAAAATTTAAGATTTATATTTATATAAAAACAGTCGTTCCATACTGCGTAACTCATCAATTACAACAAGTAGCAAGTATGCGAAATATTTACATAATATGCCCTCGAAGAGGCAAGAGCCAAAATTGTGAAAAATACCCTTTTAGTTCTTTTATAATGTTCAAAGTTTTAGATATATTCGAAATAAATGTAAAATTGTTTAATTCTACTTGGGGTGCCAAATGACCCATTTAGAGTACTAATTTTTTAATACTCTAAATCTAAAACTATACTAATATAAGCGATTTAAAAATTCATTTTTTTAAATTAAATATATTATAGTAAATTATTCATTTTTTCTTAAGGGAGATCTAAATGTTTACTTCAATAATTATAAGGGGATTTGTATATACTCATATATTCTTATACATTAAATACAATAACCTAGGTACATTGTATCACTATAGACTATAATATAAAATATTCTAACGAGGAATAGTGACTAGTAAATAGTATTTGGCGCATAGAATAATTAAGAATAAAAAGTTACATTTAGTAACTAATTAAAGTAATATATTTTATAATATGATTGGTAAAAATAATTTAAAAGCCTTATTGATATTTTAAGTATACATTTTAGTATAAGTAAGTATTCATTCTAGTTATAAGTATAAATTCTTCAGTAGATACTTTAAATGTTTTATGATTACAAATTATTTTATAAGTTTTTATGGTTTATTTTAGATCTAAAGTATGATAACTGGGCTTTGGAAAATATGTCTAGACTCTACTAATAGAATGATATTTTTTTAATACAATAATTCAGTAGCTCGGTAATGTTTTTACTAAAAAACTACCTCAAATAATGCGTAGTGGTTTTGATTGTTTATCGGAAAGTAATAGCGTGTTGAATTTGAAATACATAGAATATACCAGTTTTCGTCGAATTTTATTGAAGGGCAATGGAAACTTTTAAATTAGAAAATAGAGTTGATGTTATTTTTAAATCACATCAATATCTTTTAGTTCTGCATTGAAACTAAAAATGTCATGGGCAAACAAATATAATGTCCTCACAGTATGTATGACAATAATTATACATGACTTATGTAATTTTTTTTAAATATGTTAATTTACTTATTTACTAATGGAAAAATCTCGTTTTGTCAAACTATATGGTAATTAATTTTATAATTACTTAAGATTATGGGTATCAACGTTCAAAAACATACTTAAGTCCATGTATTATCGTGTTTCAAGAACCTTGGCTTTGAGTTTTTGAAAGTATTACTTAACATCGTCAACAAATTAAAAAAAAAATTGATTTGATAAATTATGTGGTAGTAAGATATTTTTTGTTAACAATTATAATATTAAATTACTGTGAATGTAATGTATAACATACATATGAAGGGCTGCGGAGAAAAAAGATCAATGTCAATTTTTTAACATTCTGAGAAAATCATGTTTTTAATTTTAAAACGTAATACATTTTGCCTGTATGCCTAAACTTCTGGTGGTCGTTACTCTCGACTAATCTATTTTTTCCCTGATTCGAGCGCATAAAAGATACAATACGTCAATACAAAGAGTTTGATACCAAAATCTCATTTTCAAAAAAAAATTTACATTGATCTTTTTTCCCCGCAGCCCTTCATATATTATATTAATTAAAAAGATATAATAAAATAAATTCTTATGTTCTAGATTTAATTATTTCGATGAATTTTAAAATATGGATCAATTTAGATCAGATCTTCCTAAAATCGTACAAAAATATTCTTTGTATACTATTATAATTACTAATTAGATACTTTATAATACTATCCAGCTTTCCTGTGTCTACAAATTTTTTATCATCTTTATATTATAGTGTTTGTTAAAAACCTCCAAAAAAATGTTAATACACCGGCAGCTGTGATTTGGGTCATATTGGAAAAAAATCTAGAGCCAGCCGAGTATAAGTATTTAGGATATGTGAAGTGACAGAATGGTGCAATTAAAGATTATGGCAACTAGATTGGTAAATGGTATTTTATGTACGTAGGCGGACGATTGACACTCGCCTGTGCTGTGTTTCACTCAATAAATGCCATTATTATTATAATAAACAATTAGATAAATATGAATAATTGCTAAAACTTGTTAAATTTAAATCCTGATAACATTATAGATGGTTTTTTTTGTTAACACTAAAATTGTATTCAATATTATATTTTACTTTATATTTTTTGAATTTGAGATTATATAATAATTAAATGCAATAAGGAGCCAATAATGTTGAGTGACGAATTCCCAAGTTCATTTAGATAAAAGTGTGCTTGGATGAGATAGATTAAAACAACTGAAATGTTTTACAATATGTAATTAGAGTATGTAAGACAATTTTTGTAAACCTAATAGAGAATAGGTTGGATAGAATTAGGAATGGGTTTATATTGATGGTAGTTTGAGATTTGTGCCTATTGCAGAAAAATTAAGGAGAGTATATGAGATGGTATGGACATGATGGATGAAAATTGAGAATGATAAGATAGACTCATACAGAAGTAGGTGGATGCTAAAAATGAATGACAAATAATTAATAAAAAATATGAAGGGAGAGGATTAGGATGACCGATCTTGTATTATTATTTTATGCAAGGCATGGAAGAAGATAATTAAGAAACTCATAATGCTTAAAAAGTTAAAACATTTATTAGTTATAGAAGTTATAGAACGGGGAAGAAGAGGGAAATGGATCCGAATTATTTTTTTGACAGTTCCCTAAAAAGACACAATAATATTAATACACATAGGTTATATACATAACCCTTAATATTTTTTACCGAGTCAATTTGGTCGCGGCCGCCACGGATAATAGGTTGTCAACAACCGGGCATTATCCATCTATATTTTTGTTAGATAGGGTCGTGCCTAATAAATAACCCATAAAAACATTTATAGGTTCACCGTTCAGCCATTCTTTTACGACGTTAAAAACGTGTCAAATGTGCAATCAGAATAATCGGCTAAGTTAGTTTCTGAATTTCCCCAATTTAAAAACGGAAGGAGTAACATTTTTAAAATTTTGACCATTCTGTATAGATATTTTCATTCATAACCATGGTAATTAATTATTTAGAATTTAGATTGTAGATAAGTGGTAGGTACCTATTATAATTACAAAAATTACAACTAAAATTTTCAACAATACAATATGTCCCGCAACGCTAATGAATTAACTTTGAGTATTATTTTCAAAATACAAAATGTTGTATAGTTAACACAGTTTATAAATAAGTACATAATAATTATTTACAATGAACATTTGATGTACTACAGAATTCAATTTATGTATCGTTATTGATTTAAAAAAAAAGGATCAATAAATTAAATAATAATCCGCTTAATAAAAATAATTTTATATCTATTTATAGGTAGTTTTTTATTATTATTAATAACCAAATAATTTTTTAAAATTAAACTGGTCTTCATCAATATATTAAAAAAAATAAGCAGGTTAAAAAACAAAAACTATTTATATTATTACATATTTAAATATACCATTTCTTTTCTAATTAAATGTTACGGTGATTAATTTAAACGCTTCTTAGGCAATAGGTGCAAAGTTATTCAAGAATAAAAAAAACCCAAAATAAATGGAGAGGTATAACAATGAGATAGCTAGGCAAAGATGTATGCAAGTCCATTGTAATTGTGAATGTTTTATTATATATTATTCGAACATGATTAAAATATTTAGTTATTGAAATAATTTCACGCCAGGGGAACATTATGTGGACAAAAGAACTTTTAGATTAGATAATAAATATTGTTTTTTTTGTTTTAAGTATAGGTTAGTACTCAAAATTATACTAATTAATTATGAAATATATAATATTTTTAAATTTACAAGTGTAAATATACGTGTATTGGATACACAAACACGATACACGTGTACAAACTAATATTACACGTGTACTTAATTAATTACATGGACCAAATCGTAGCCTCTACTATAAACCAGTCACCTTGACCAGTCACCTCGACTCTACTATGTTAGCTGTTCACTATATTTTAAAAAGCTAACATAGTAGTGTCGGGGCGTTCCTAAGAGAATAAATTACAATTTGTACTTCACAGTTCATTTTAATTACGACAAAAACTTAACTATTTAACAATTTTATATGCAAATGAAGTATATATTTATCGTATAAATGAGTTCATATTTATCACATCAAGTTAATAATTACACCATTGTCAAAATAATAGGTTAAAATAATTTGACTTCCACGGGAATTCACCAGAAAATGCCCATTTTTCTTTTTATCGTTTTCGTGTAACTGATAAAATCGTCAGTTATGTCGTCGCTGTGTTCCTTTAAGTATATTTGCGCACTGTCGGCATTTGTCGGATAACCTTTGGGAAAATAATTCCAATGACGGTATATACATATTTTGAACATTTTTTTTAATTAAAAATTACTTATACGTACCGGCGTGATCTCGTAAAAATCGTATTGTCAAGTAGCTTTGTATTTTCAACGCAGTTTCCGGATCCAATTTTTTCCACATGATTATATCTAACCAATAACCCCAAATGTAGGGAGTATCCGTATGGCTCTCATGAGTAGTATTCTTCAACGTGTACAACTGACGAATTCCTTTGGAATTAAAATACTTTCGAAGTACGGATATGTTTGAAGGTATATGAAATGTTTGAGAGTTAATGAATAGAATAGGTTGATCAATATTCAAAAACGGTTCAGATTTGATCGGGAACATCCAACCATCAATAATAACAGCGGTCCTGGTAACACACAAATTATTCACATGATTTTTTCTTAACTACTCATGTATGTGATACATTTTACATGGGGTCTATAATGATCATTCTTAGAATTTTTACAAGGACGTATTGTCTTAAGTTAACAATTTTAACGTGATTATATATTTAACATATCAGAAAAATTAAAACGTATGTTGAACAAGGTGAAATATTTTACCTTGTGTATGGTAATTCCTATAATATATTGAATAATTTTACCAAAAGGGGGGGGGGGGGCGAAAGGCGTTTATTTTTTTCAGTTGTAAAGTAAAAATATACCATTTTCAACTATTAGTGGTGGTCACTTGGATCTAGATACTCACTTAATACGTTTGTCGTTCGCTGCAGTGTACATAGCGGTAGATCCGCCGAATGAATATCCCGCCACAATAACTTTGTTGAAATTCAGTTTACCCTGAAGAAATTAAAAATAATTTTGTAGTAAAACACAATGAGTATTAATATGTTTCGAATTTTGTTTTGAATATTACTTTGAACTGTTCTAAGTCGAAGCTATAATTAATTATATTTTCAACAGGAGCACCGTTATTGATTTCAGAAAGTGTGTCTAAAAGTTTTTCCATTTCCTTGAATCTGTATTTTAACTAGAACACACAGATTATCGATTGTATGATTGATTAATGTAAACCAAGTTGAAGTGTACATATAAAGTTCTAGTATTGACGTTACTGACGCAGTGTAACTTTAATAAGGTGCGGGAGTTTTGCAATCCAAACAATATAAGTTTTAAATAATATCTAAAAGTATAATTTTTTGGCAAATTAATGAACGATGTGGTGGAGTGGGATATTTGGGATGTGTTGTTACACATGGGTTTGAATGGTATTATACAAATGTTGCGAAGCCTACCTAAGCATACGAGGATGACAGTTTATGTTCGTAGGGTCAAGGCTGTAGGTAAAGTTTTGAATTAAGTCATCTATTACAAAACATTGAAAATAGTAGTAAGAAAGAATAATCTCCGTTACGTTCTGTCGCTAGTTCAATTGTCGATCACAAGACAGTTTTGAAAAACGGGCGGCCGACTGTAAAAAAAAAAGAAATAGCTAGGTCCCAAACTTGTTTGGTCTGTATTAGCCAGCAACCCGAATCAAATCTCTGTCTGACAGGATATCATATTATGTATAATATTATAGGCATTCAGCACTGTGACATTGGGCATTCTCGAACATATTGTCAATATTAAAATATGAAATCGTTACTTGTTTATTTCGCAATAGGTAATGATCGTTATCGCATATTTGGTGCAAGTGTACGTGGTCCACCCACGTGCATTGGTCGTTTTTTACGCTCTCTGGAGAATCATAGTAGAACGTAGCTGGCGCTGATGTATCCCTAAACAAACGATATAACTTATGGGTAATAGACAGATTTCCCAAGTACAACATACAAATGCAATTCGGTGTGCAATTACGCCGGTTACCTGTGTTCGATGGCGACAACGATAAAACCGTGAGACGCTATCGAGTTACAGTACTCCGAGCAAACGAATCTGGTAGCTGCGAATCCATGGGAAAACACTAGCAAGGGATAGGACTCGAGAGCTTTGGACAACGGCGCGTCGCAAATGGTGGGTATATAGTGAGGTTCTGAAATCAAAAACATGTTATCATTAAATCCAATTGCCTTTTTCTGTATCGTTGAAAACACTTTTGCCTAACTATGTAGTAGATACGTAACTTGAATGGTGCACACTGCACGTAAATGTCGTTAACGTAAAACGTACTATAATACATGTATAATTGCTTACTAACTAAAACGATTACTAATATTGTTATTTTAACTTAATAAAGTGTTTAAGTCGGTCATAAGGATAAAGTGGGAATGTCTTTCTCGCCGGATCACGGACATCGCGGCAGCGGCCGATTTATAATATAAGTCGCCTTGATTAGGTACCGGCAACTTTACTGTAATAAATTAATAAAATAATATACTATTGATTCCCCAGACTAATGTTAAATCCTATTAACGTGTCATGTCCGTGTATTTACAATAACATGTTATTTTATGGCACCCATCTGTTTTACTTTTATATATTCGTATAAAACATCCTTGAAATAACTAATTATGTGCTTTAAATATAATTTAAATAAATATAATTGCCGTATAAAATATATAGTATGACGACTTTATTTTTCTACATTGTTCTTAAAAACATGTTGTAAAACCATCAACAATAATTTTCATACCCCAAGATAAAATAACTAGATAACTAAAAAAAAAGGAGTTTAAACGCATTCTGGAAGAAAGGATCGATAATATTTTGTTAAGTTACGGCTTTATATCTGCAGTAAAATATTTAAGGAATACTTTATTTCAATTTGGAAGTCATTTGAAATTTTTTTTTTAAGTAATAGCGTGGCACATATGATTTTGTTAATCTTTGGCTTAAAGATAATGATTTAATGTACAATTTCTGAATAAATATAATTAATAATTTGTATAGGAAAATAATTAAAATTGTATAAATTTTCTTTTTGCTATTGTTAAGAATCCTACGCCCCTATCAACTTTTAAAACTTAAATGGCAATGTATGTATTTTATATAATTTTATAATTGAGAATAATCTACTGAACATTTTAACTTGTTAGATTTGGAAATTGAATAATATTATAAAATAACAAACAAAAATAAACCCAAAATAATATTAATACAATTTTTCCTCCTCCAAAATTGTGTACAAACATAAGTAAAATAAAAATCATATTAACTAAGTTTCAACAGGTAATAATTAAATTTTGTAAAAAGAATTGTGTTTGTAATCAATATTATTTTTTAGTTTTTCCTTAATAAACCAAAAAAGTAACTACAGATTTTTAAAAAGTTGTTTACTAAATCATACTATGTCTACCTTATGTCAAATGGCTGATACTCTAATCTTCAGATCTTAAGTCTAAAAATACACTATGCCTACAATATAAAAAGACGTTTTTAGTTCCTCTCAATAATTTTATACGTACACTAATATAATGTTTGATGCAACAGTTATGGTTGATAAAAATGTAATTGAAAAAATATAACCTTTTTTTAATTTTAAATATATTTTCCAAAGTATTAGCGTGTAAATGTATGTAACTCTCTGAAACATGAATATTGAAAATATTCACCATCCCTTAATTAAAACTAAAATGTATAACCTTTTTAAAAGATCAATAATTTTAAAACATAATTAATTCTTGAAAAAGAAGGGCAAATTTATAAATTAGTTGACCGATTACATTGCATGCACTTCTCAGTGGCTGTTACCTATATCAGTAATAACATGTGCCTAGGCCATAAACACTAACACATAAGAAACCAGTTAATCGAGTACAATAACTAAAAAGGTATTTTCACTTTTCCCAAACCCCTAATAAAACTTATTTTAGCTCGCGTTTATTTTGGCGGTTAATCGATAATGATGTATTCGTAATACAGAAACGCTGTCAAAATTAAAATAATATTTTAAATATGTACAATTTAAAAACAAATGTCTAAACGTCGACATACATTGTTTATTTTGTTACTCTGTCCGCGAGTACCGCTTGGAACCTGTTTTATAATGAGCCCCTCTTAAGGATTCAATGTAATACTGTATACAATAAGTATACAACACGACTTCGTAATAAGAAGCAAAAGATATTAAATATTTCTTGTTTTAGACGTTAAATTTGATTCCAGTCTAAAATGATTGTAGGACATCTAGTTATTTTTAAATTGCTCCTAACATATTATATTATTATACACATTCAATTTCAGTTGACTATCCAAAATCTGCTTCAAATTAATTTTTTTGCATCGTGTTTAATCAAGGATAATGTCGCACACCTGAAATTGATCTTTTTAATACAATTATTAAGTTATTAGCATTATTAATTTATTAATTAATTACTTTATTAAGATAATAAACTATTAAGAGTTAATATTAAATATAAAATTTTTAAAAAATTATAACGATTTTTGTAATAAAAAAAAAAATGTTAATATAATACAAATATTGAAAAATCATATGATATACATATTATATTGTAATAATTGTGTACAAAATTAATACAATTAATTATTTTAATTATTACAATGGGTGGTTATTACATTAATTAATATAGTATACAAGTTGTCCCGACCCTGCGTTGCCCGGGATTTAGTTTGCCAGGGCTGAGTAAGATAATTCAAATAAGATTAAAAAAAAGTCAGTACTCCATTTTAGGTTTTAAACATATTTGAATTTGAGTTTCGTTTATACGTGTATTACCGTTTTTATTACTTTTCTATTTAAGCTTGGGCTGAAATTAGGTATTAGGTTTTATTTATACTATATGTTTTATTTTTTGTGTCAATTCAGTGATATCTTTTTATCTACTGAACCAATTTATTCGTGTAGCAGATATTGCATGATATCCGAATAGTACGTTAATAGGTTGAAAATTAAAAAAAGGAACTCCATCATTAAAATCTAGACACAACGCCTTAAAAATTACACATTAAAATTACTGCACGTTATAACGTTGTGAAAAGTATTATAATATATACTATACCTTTAGGTAGTGATATTTTTTTTGTTCAAAAATGAAATAATAACATGACAACAAACACAATACTTTTAACTTTTTATTAAATTTAATATTGCTAGCTGTTGATATACGTATTATGACATTTTTTGTTATTTATTATTTTATCATGCCGAGTGTCACACAAATCTAATGATTTTTTTTTTAATCATTAACAAAACATTCCACATAAATTTCCGGAATCTATCTAATTTTGGAGAGGAGTTATGTCTAGTACTTAAATTTTTATTCTTCAATTTTTTATATGATGCAATTGTAAAGTACCATAGGGAAAAATATATTTTACTTTGTCTTATCAAATACGGTCCGTATTTGAACACGAAAAAGGGTATCCGGAGGCTGCTCGCAAATCCTCTTAAATATGTCTCGTTCGGCATCCATGGCATCCATTTATCCGAATATTCCTAAAAAGATAAAGATGTCACATTAAATCCAGTAGAACTGAAAAATTCACTAACATTTGGGAGAAAATATATTTTAAACCCACCCACCCAAAATATATTACTCATAACATACAAATATTATTAAATTTAATCCTATAATATGACCTTATACTAAGTATTCTGCTAAGTATAGATCAACCATCCACCTCAACCATTAAATCAATGAGGTATTTATCCCGCCAGACACTTGTGTTTGGTGCCACTAATTAAATCTATTCGTTATCTCCACTGAAAAACCGACAAAATTGTTTTTCAAATATCCGGTTGGCGTTTTTTTAACTACACACAATTTAAGAGGAAGTTAAAGTACAGAAAATAGGCATACGATTTTGACGAATGTAAATAATTGTTTACTATAAAATAAATAAGTAATGTACTATAATATTTTACTATCATAAACCATTGTAATATTAGTTAACGCACAAATCGTGGTTCCAACGCTTAACGCAATAAAGACAAAGACTATACACCATAGCTATTTTTTTAAAATTTATTTTGGCACACATCCACCTATGTGTTCTTTTTACATTACTATTTTTATTGTCAATCCAATTATTGGACCGTAAAGCATGGTGAATATATTTATTTTTATTTCTAGAGCTTATAAAAAATATTAGGCCGACACACCAACAAATAAGGACTATAACGCTGATACTAACGTTTATCTGTTCGGATGGAATATCTGTCGGGTAAAATATCCTTGCAAAACATCCTTCCGGGCTGTACTCAGTCATTAGGTCAATACATCCCGTCGCAAAAGGACCTGTAAAAAAACGAATTTGTACAATAATTATCTATTGTAGTAAAAACGAATTATAATAATTAATAACCCAATCAAAACATTGCAATGCATTAATTGACCAATCAACGTCCTCGAACACGTCTTATAGACATTATGGACCATAATGGTAAATAACATAGCTATGTTTAAAGTTGGGATGGGAGGAAATAATAATAATCTTTGAATATTTACCCGTTATTTAGTTTCAAACGGTGGTCATGGGGGTTTCATCCTTAATACTAACATTAAATTACAATTACTTAAGTATTTAGAACAGATATTATTTTTCCGACCTCGTCGCACGCTTATAGTGTTATGCAAACAAGGAAACACACGCAGCAGTTGGATTTTAAAGTGATCGTATGGGTACATTTAATGTCTATGTATAAACATACTGGTTTGATCTCTACAGAATTGCCGATCCAATGTCCATTACTTTGTGCCTTGTGGTTTATATAGAATTGATTTTACCGATAAAAACTAAATTGATGTATGTGCACTGGCCTTGTACAGTATAAATGGGCGCATACTAGTTGCCTCCCATTTCCAGGTAGTCATCAAAATGATGTGCTAGTTGGCAGTTGCCTCCCAAATATCTGAATTCCCTCCGGTGACCTTTATTTATTTTTGTAGCATTCTGGGTCAAAAAGTACTAGTTGTCTCCTATTACAAGTAGTCAACATATTTCATCCGAGTTGCCTTTAAAAGATATCCAAATTCCCTCCCAACGATCCCTCCTAAGGAGCCTGCGCGCGACCTGCTTGAAGTCTTCCTCTTTCCAACAAAAACAATTGTTTGTAATCTGACTAATATACGAGGTGTGAGCATTTTTTTTGTAACGTATGTTTTCACCACTAAAAAGAACTCTAACTTAGTAACAAAAAATGTAGGTTAAAAATTGTATTTAGTAGGTAATACAAATAAAGCTAAAAATAAGTGAAAATAATCGAAATCAAAAAATTTACCATAGTTTGGGACTTAGCAATTTTCGCGCGTAGGGCCTTTAAGCTAGGTAAGCAGTATGACGATTGACGTATATTTATTTTTTTATAATTTTACTAATATAATTGCAATCTGCAGCTACCAAATTATTCATTATTTTAGAATAATTAATCATAGTGTGTATTTTTCAATAGATAACTGATAGTATGATAGTAGCAATTGTGTATATTGTTATCAAAAAAAAAACATTAATTGGAATTATCAGTTGTTGTATTTAAGCGATAATAATATATACCTCATGTCATAAGTAACAAAGTTCAATGGGATTCGATGTACACGCAGAATTGTATATCAGTATTACGTTATTGTCATCGCATTTATTTAGTAATCAATAGTATCTACAGTTTGGTTCTTGTTAATTTTACAGTATTTATTTTAAGTTAATCGTGCTATGTTTTACAATTTATTTGAAAATCATATATTCTTGGGAGGAAATTCGAATAAATAGTATTAATTATCTGGGATGCAACTAGTAGTTTATGACCCTTAGTTAGACTAGTAGTTATTAATTTGTAAGGATTACACTTTTTTAATTACACTAACCAATGTTTCTTTGAACATATTTGTGGCAAACAATAATATTTCTATTTAGACAAGTTTGTTATTTAAATTACACATTCGTTAAATTTGTAAATAGTAGGACATGTTGTTTTTTTAAAAGTCTTAGCCCTATATTAGCCTATTATTAGTAAAACTACTTTCGTTTCAGAAATTAACTACTAAATATTATTTTTTAAGATTTAATTATGAAAAAATAATAATAGGTTTATTACTTAGTCAATGGAATCTAACTTTAAAACAAGGAAAAATAGAATAATTCAAAAAAATATAATTAAATATTAAACCGGTTTATTTTACATGAGATGATTATTTAAAAGGTGAACCGGCGTATGGTCATGGAGTTGTATTTTTTCTCGAAAAAGGAAACCGCAGTAATATCAAAACCTAATTATAGACAAAAATTATAAATATTAGGTTCTTTTAAGATTTTTTTATTCCATAAACTACTTATTTTACTATAATTATTAATAAGGTCTGGAAAAATATTGTTTATACAAATTATATCATGATATAATATGTATATAGGTGTATAATAAATAGAAAATGTATATTCATATTAAAAGTTACTTACGTTATTCGACATACAATTTATAAATGGATGAACTGCGAAACCTTAGAAATAGCCTTAGAGGTCCTACATTTTTAAAACTACTAAATTAATTTAAAAGTATCTTAAGATTTTATATCAATATATTATAAAAACAGAGATGTGAAATGTTACGTTTTTACAAACTTGACACTATTAATTTAAACTTAATACTTCTTTTAAAAAATATTTAAATTTTCAACCACAACCGAGAAGAACAAACTATTCAATGGATGACCAAACATAGGGATCACACAATGTTTTAAAATTAATTTTTAGCCAGAAATGTAAAGTCTTACAAATATTTTTAATTAAATGTTGTTTAAATATTTTATGAACATTTATAGTAATTAATATATGTACAAATATTTTGTAAGAAAATAAAATATTATATTATATAGATATTATATAATGAAAGTAATGTTTAACGTTTTGCAGCTAGGTATAGCAACCAGCTCTAAAGCGATAACGGGAAACAATTTTCTTTTCCTCGCACTGATAATAAAATAGATACTGTGATGTGCTGGATCGAATATATTTTAACTGTCAAATCAATACATCCGAGTTTCTATAATTTTTAAGAGAGGAATGATTCTTCTCAAGAATTTTAAAACTTTATTATTAGATACCTACTTTATTATAAATTTCTTCTAACTTCTAAAAATATGGTTATCAATTTTATACTTAGCTGTGATCCTAATTTTACCAAGTTGAGTGCTTAATTCTAATAAGATAAATAAAGGTTCTTGATATTATATTTATTGATACTAACCGCGTACCTAGGAAGCGGGCAAGTCGTATAGCTACTTCCCTAAAAATTACAAATAGATGTATAATTGAAATGCTGAATAGCGAGTTGTTTGAAGGTCACAGTTTTGTACGACAGTGGATTATCAATAAATATTATATTTTAGCTAGGTTTGTCGTTTCTGGTGTGTTTTCAAATGATTATTTAAAGTTTATTAAACGGCTAGGATCTTAACAAATTGACATTGTGGAATTGACTAACTCCGTTAGATTGGAAAACGTATTGGCCCGATTTTACGAGCTCAGATTTTTAGCTAATTTTTTTTCGTGTTATCGAAAACACATTTTGAATCTAATCAATAATCATGTATTGAATTTTGCATATTTAAATACGAAATATTATGTTTTGATACATTAGGATTAAGTAGCCAGTTAAAATTTGGCTAATAAGCTCCGTGTCACCAAATTGTCCAATATAGTTTTTAGAATTTGATTTCAGGTTAACTTTATGCTGTGTCTAAAAAACAATTTTTTTTACATACCCTTCTCAGTCAATTAAAAAAGGAACTTGTTTTTATCAAGTTGCAGTCATCTAAGGACTAATGTGTATAAAGTGTATACAAGGTGATTCATTGAGATTCTTATAAGACACTCGTTTATCTTAATATTAAACAATATTCAAATTTTTACATCTATTATTTTTTTCCAGGGCTCTTAACTTTTAAAACTTAAGGGTAACGTGTTATGTTTAATTAACATTTTAAATTGAGAATAATCAGCTGAAAATTATGACTGGTCTATAAGTAGTTTTGGATGATTACTTTTAAAGTTACTAAAGTTCAACATTTAGGACGAGAGGTGGAGTGCGGTAGATTAGTGCACGCAGTAAAGATAATATTACACTCCACCTTTCTTCCCGTCATATATTTAAATTCTAATTACTTTAAATGAACTATCCAAAACTAGTTATCAATTAAAGTTTTCAGTAAATTTTTGTTATTTAAAAAATTAATGAAACATGTATTATATAGAATTTAAGTTTCGTAAGTTGATAGAGCTCTGGAAAATACATAATAATAAAATTCGTAAAATAGCTATTTTTTGAATAATGGATTTTTCGTATTATTATTGACTGTTTACATACCTAGGATAAATGTATAACGAATGTATCTTGGTTCATAGTTTTAAGTAAGTTAGACAATTAGTAGCCCTAATATTGGTTTTCTATAGACAGTAAGATAAGACTCACCCGAAGGGTATGGTAGGTGACATTTTTCCGAATCGTTTACTTCCATGGTTTTATTTTTATTTTATGTACGGACACCATATAATAAATGTTGTTACACTTTTTTTCTTGGCGAGATTAACGCGTATTGTAGGCACTTGGTGAGATTGCCGACTGACCGGCTTTCGTGATCATAGTACGGATAAACGGTTGCGGTTTGTTGCGTTTAGTGGGGGACGAGGAGTATAGTTTTTACGCGTTGGCGTTAAAAAACCAAATATTATTTACAAGTATACATAGATAAATAATTATAGTAATGACTTTTAATCACCATAATACAAAATACGGCAGTACAGATAAAAAAGTGATTATTAATTTATATAATTATAACATTATATTATTATCACTGTTGTCATTTATTTTACATCCCCGGGTACAAATTATAATACCATAATTCTAGTTTTGGATTCAATTGACTTTATGGCGATGTGCCTATAAGCTTAAAAGTTATAATAATAATAAAATGTAGATAATTTATGATTATATTTTTTAAAATGGAGAAATTATACTTAGGCCGTATTAAATTGTATAACAGGTATTATAAAAACATAATATGGCTAAATGTTGCTATATGTGAATAAATAAACATATTTTTTCATTATGTGAAGTATAAAAAGAATTATTATTTTGGTCCATTTACGTGAAAATTTATCAAGAACTGCCTTGGTTAACAGACTTTTTATACTTCAGATATTTATTATTATAAAGTGTTTAAAACAATGCTTCTATAAAGTAATACATTTTCATTTTCATTCTTTGAATGAAAAAAGAAAAATTGTTAAAAAAAATCATATTTACATTCGACCAAAAATGGAATGGACGTAAATAATAAATATTGCAATACTAGTTATTAAAGTAAACTAATATTTAAAAATTAGGATGTCTATTTTAATTATATATAACTGTGTATAATTAATTATTAATATAATATTAGTATTATATTATATAATATATAATAATATAATAATATAATTAATTATTTTTAATTATGTATATATTTCTTGACGTTGTTACCCAAAATCATAATTAATTAATAATATTATACATTTTGATACCAATTTTCCTTTTTATACACAATGAATGAAAATGAGAATGTATTAGATTTAAAGGTTGTTTCAAACACTATGTAATATTAAATAGCTGAAGTATAAAAAGGTCTGCTAACTAAGGTAGTTCTTAATCAATATTCACGTAAATGGACCAAAATAATAATTACTTTTTATGCTTCACATAATATAAAAATAATACGTTAGTACCTAAAAAAAGGTTATTTTAGAGCATTATTAAATTGTACTCGCCTAACTCTTTATTTTTTTGTTTTTGTTGGGGAAGGAATATATTGGAGAAAATTATGGAATGACGTTATACTATATGATTCAGGAAAATAAATCACTAGAACAATAAACTGATATTGGGACATATATTATTGATATAGCTTGATATGACACTGATATTATTGTTTTATCTTTTTTTCCCTAGACACTGCCGTTCATTTTTGATAATTGTCCTTGGCAATTAAAGTGTTATTTGTCAAAAAATATAAAAAAATTATTAAAAAAAATTCTGACTAGAAAAATTGGTACATTTGAATGAATTGACAATTAAATGAAAAGTCTGGCACTAAACAAGTATAAAGTAATCCTTTTGAATTTATTGTCGATTTTTATTTTTTGGTCAAATGGTCTCTTTGGAACTTGTACTCTACTAGAACTAAATATTAATGGTTTGCACAAATTTCAAAACTTTATTAAGTTTTGATGTTGGCGCAACTGAAACCCTATAATGATTCCCCCCTCCATTGATATTTTTATTTATATATATAATAAATATTAATATTCAGTTCTTGTATATTATTAACTTAACCAAAAACCCTCCCCTTTAAAAACATTTGACCAAAACAACAACAAGAAATTAAAAAAATATATTTATACTTTTTTTAGTGCCAGACTTTTCATTTAACTGTAAATTCACTTCAAATGTACCAATTTTTTTGAAGTCAGTTTTTTTTGTATAATTTTATTTTAGGCTTCTGAGTGGTAAGGATAATAGTTGAATATTAAAGAAATATTTTTATTATTCATTTATTAATGCGGTCGATATTTTATAATTCTGTTTTAATAGTTTATTTTCATATTTTAGTATCGCAATAATAAATAGATAATAGAGTTAACTTAAGGAATTGTATTTCTAAAATAAGAGTGGCGCATACTGAATTGATTGTATACTTTTATAATATAACCTTACTTTTGCTGATGACGTCAGAAGAAATTAACGCATATAAATTAACGACTTTGAATATTCAACCCAGGAATTAGGTATTATGTAATTTTAATAACTATATTGAGGTTTATAACCTAAAAACATTTTTGTTACTAAAAAATTGCGTTTTGTTTTACATACATTGTTTAAAATATATGTTGGTAACTAACTACTCTTTATAATGAACATTTCGTGTGAAACATTGAAAACCATTTGTAGTACGTATTCAGTATACTTTTATATTCAAGGACCACAACTATGTATTAATGTAACGCCACAATGCTAGCGATCCAACTTTCAGTAGGTAATCAGCAAATTAGCACTAAAATAATATTAAAAATACAATTAATTGTTTATACGTCTTAATTTTTATTAGTTCGTGTAAATTCACTGTTTTTGTTGTTGTTAATATACGTGTGACTCTATAGTTTATGTAACTAGTTATTTATCATTGATCCAATGCTTACTTGTACTTGAGTGGACACGTTTCCACAATGACAATCGATAACCTGTTATATTACCATCAATCGGAAGCTGCTGTTCTGTCGCTTTTTTTTAGTGCTTGAACATTGGTACAAGGATATTGAAAAAAAAATTTTTAAAAGAGTTTTATACAATTCCCTTTTATTTTTATTTTAGTCAACTTTTTTTGGAATGATAATATTTGGTAAAAAAGTTAACATAAAAATCTAGAACAATTGTTTAGTATTGTTTTTACAATAATTTGTTTTTAATTAGCTTTTAAATTTATATTTGTGTCTGGACAAACGATATATTTCAAGCCGCTGGATTGATTGACTTCATTGAGCCTAAAATTAAAAAACACTCACCAACTCTCCCAACGCCCAAAAAATAACATTTAGTTTACAAGATTTTTAACTTAAAATTACAGCTCACTATAATTTTTATAAAAAAGTTTAATTAGATCGAAATTTGTATGGAGTATTCTTAAGATTTTTTTTATGTTACGTTTTGAGATTTACATTTCATTCCAAAAGACACAAGTCTACACAGCACATATGCCACGCAGACCTATTATAGTTATATAAACACAATATGTAAAACTATAACATACTTGTAAATATGAGTTTATGATGTATATTGTTTGTTTAAGGGGGGGGGGGTAAGATAACTAAAACACAATCAATTTTATTTCATAAAGTTGCAAAGGGGAAATTATAATATTTACACTATACTAGAGTATGACAGCTAGAGAAAATATTGTAATTATAAGTTTTCCCTTATTACTTTTTATAGTCGATTTGTTTGTTTAAACTTGAGAAATGGTATGTTTACGGAAGCGGTTACAATTGTTATACTGTTGTGCATTCTTTGTCGAATACATTGTGCGCATAGGTAAACTATAATAATATACTCCACAAGACTTTCGCTTTTGTTTATTGACAATGGTATGGTGCAAACTGTACAGCAGTCATAGCATATTATACATTTGGTGTTCGTGTATTTTTTGTGGCAGCACAAAAATTATATTTACCTGATTCGTGTTCTGCTTGCATTGTGATATAGGTGTCACAATCTTAAATAATATACAAGCGTAATAATAATAATATGGAATTTGGTTTGTCACTCCAAATTATAAATATATATAATCATAAAAGAAGAAGAAGTTTTATAAAGTTACTTTGAAAATTAACATAGTAATAGCTATAATTTAATTAATTTGTTTAATGAACGTCGTATTACTTTAAATGCAAGCTATAATTATACACGGACAACACAATTTGAGTTATAATTTTATACTTAATTAGAATCTCCTTGGCAACTCTTCATTTGGTTACGTATATAATACGAGTATATTTAGTTATGTTTAGGAAATCTTACTCAAAGGAAATGTTCGTGCATGTAATGTTCATAAAGTACATAAGAACCGTTTTTGTTATAATCAAGACATGACATAAATCTTAATAGTGATTGTTTTTTTAAATAAAAACGTCGGCTTAGGTAATTTTATGAATAATAGTATTGACACGAAAGCATAATTTATATTAAAAGTACAAAGTGCATAAGACATAACAATATTGAAATTCATGGCTAGACAAGGAATCGGTACACCGTACAACGGACAAAGTCCGCGATCAAATTATTAAGTCATGATCAAGTAACTTAATTTCTGAGAAAATTACACGTTTTAATGTATAACAAACAATGCAGGGTATATACACAAGTTATAAAAATAAAAATAAAATTGTATTCGATATTACTCACTCACTTCTTAATATTTATCTAATCGGAGGATTCTGTAGTGACGGGCCTGTTGTCTACCGAATTGTCATCCGAAATAATCTGCACGTTTCTGACAGGCGTGGACTGAGTGGTACGCCTGAACATCGAACGTGGAGCAGTCTGTTCTTCGACGTCGACATCGGTGTTACCAGAGTACCTAGGACTTGTGGTCAACAGCATTCGGATCAGACCGTCTTTGAATGTCTGCGTGACTCGGGGCGATCGGGTAAGGCTGTCCTGCTGACCGGAAAATTGCACGTTGCCCGCGGCAAGGGGCCTGGGTTGCAATCGCGGGCCTTGATAATAATTGGGCACGTAGTAAGGCTGTTGGTACGGCAAGGGATACGGCTGATAGGGTCCGCCTAAGCCGCCGCCGCCGCCAACGTTGCCGAGTGGTAACTGTGAAATGCGCGTTTGCACTAAAGTCAATATGAGTTCCATGAGGTCATCGCGGAGCGCTATCAGCGTATTAGGGTTAAACGAATATGGATTCATCACCGGGTACACGGGTTGTGGATATTGTAATGGGTACGACTGTTGGTATTGGAGCGGCACGGGTTGGTATTGTGTAGATGAGGGCAGCGGCGTTTGACCGGCCGGCGCGGTTACCGGTTCATTGACATCGTTGTCGTCGTCCTCGTCAATAGGTCGACCCATTCGTTCGTGTTCTTCATACTTGGCCCGCTGGAAAGGCGCTGTCTGTCCAGCTTTGTTATAAACCGACGGTGGGGGCCTGTATTGGACGCGTACAGGATCCAGTTCGGACATCAGGGCTGATATGACCGGTGACACTGGCGCCGACTGCAGGCTGGACCTTCCGTGCACACCGTACACGTCTGGAGAGTCATTTTCATTTCGGGGCAATTGCCGGCGAAGATCGTTGCCCTCCCGCCGCCCGTTCGTCTGTTCGTTTACTGGCCGTTTGGACACCAGTATCTTTTTTAACCCGCTCGTTTTGGGTTCCTCTTCTTTATTCGGTATGACCTGCACGGTAGACGGCTTACCGGTAGACGCCGTTTCGTAGTCCGCAGGTGTCGTCGACGCGCCGCTCGTTTGGAACCCGGACGAATTGCTGGCGGAGTAGGACACCCGTTTTAACTGTCCCGTCTCGTCCACGAATCCAAACATGCCCTTAACGTTGCCCGCCACGTCCCGAGTTTCCACTTTAAAGCTACCGTCGGACGCCTCGTAACCGAACGTATACGAACCGTCGTCGTTCACTTTGTTGATCTGCTTAAGGATGGATACGTCCGCCGGCAGAGTGTTGGGCGGCGTGGCCGGAACGTCCGGCTCCAGTTTCTTGACCGGCGACGCCGTGGCCGCCGTCACTTGTTGTTCGCCGTCTTCGGCCGCCACTCGCAGAGCTAGACATATTAAAAACACCTGAAAGCCAACAAATCTCTATTACCGTAATCATTCAGAATATATTATGTTATCACATTGAAAACTAACAATCGGATACTGTGTATATTACATTATTGTTATTATAACGTTGATTGCCATACCTGCCGGATGATGTTTAACGGACCCATAGCTAAGAACGAATTGACGACGAGACGACGTTGCTGGTCTACTAAATAGATTATGGCTGGACAGGGAGTCGACGGTACAAGGCACGCGAAAGCCATGGAAAACTCACACGGTGTTGAGTAACCGCTGGGTTCGCATAGGTACTCTGTGAGAACGGTAAAGTTTCAACAGACTTATTGTTAATTGTCGCGTCCGTCGAGTGCCCTGGAAAATCAAATAGACCCCATCGGTGTGAACTTACTCGGAACAAGGTCGTCGAAGGTCGCTGACACTTATTTTTACCCGTAACAACAAAGTTTTCATCTATTTTTTCGGTTCAAAAATTGCTCCTAGTCACAATAGGTAGGCAGTTTTCCGACGGGCTATTAAGCAATTTAATGTGTTATAATCCGATTGCGTCACTCGGGCCAACATCAGTGACAATAGGCATAGTAGTATACATTTTTTTAAATTTGTATCTCCCACCCTAGTCTTATTATGTTTATTGTTTTAGACTATACGAGAAATGCTAACGTATTTCAGTGTAATATTATTACATTTTCGGTATTCTCTTCTTACCGTGACTTAAGACCTTTGAAAAAAAAGGCGAAACTACTTACGATCCTTAGTTATTTTTTATGTCTTGAGTAGGCTCATAATGACTACTCGATTCGTGGTAGATACCAATCTACAATAATAACAATAGTTATATTTGGGTACTCATAGAATAATTGAAATCATAACGTGTGTAAATAAAAATGTATTAATTTAAGTTATGTAAAATAAATAAAATATAATGAACGGCGTTCGTAAAAAAAGATATATTTCGGTAATTTGGACAAATATTATACATATATTTAATAATTGAAATAAACCTACTTTAGAATATTTTTATGTCCTATGAAAACTACTTAGACAAAATATTGACTTATACCCTTTTTTACAAACATCGTCCTAAACTTTACAAAAATATTCTACATTGCTGCGTTTTCAATACAAAAATAATATAACGTACGTTTTAAATTAGTGTCACTATAGAGTGAAAGAGTTCAGGTTTTTCTTACTCAACTTCCAACGTTCACTGCACGTAATTACTATCCGCTTTACTAGATAATAGTAAACGTATTAAACAGTTTCGCAAATAAAATGGACTTAACAGAGAACTGTCATAAAGATATGAACAATATTTTTAATATTACACAGAAATAATAACAATGACTTATTAAGATTTAATGGCTTGTAATTTTGTTACTAATACGTGACATAAGTATAGGTTTAATACGTATAGGGAAAATAACGGTTCTTTACAATTTTTTTAACCATTACTTTTTGTAAATTTACTCATAATTGCCACTTAGCTATAACTTATAACTTTGTATATATCATATAAGTTAACACCCTCGTATTGGCAGTCGTCCTCTTGCATCGGTACATGTATAAATACCTGAATGCATCAGAAACCTACGTCCTAACACGTTTGCATAATAGCAAAAAAGGTAAAATAACTTTCGTTCTAGAGCCAGATCCTAGTCAGAACCATAAGTATATTTCAACAAACGTATGCATCTAAAGTTAGAAGTAGTAGTGTTAGATTTAACAAAGAAATGCATACAGGGTGATTTTTTTATCATGAGCCACTTAATATCTCATAGGGCTTAATAAGAAATTACATTTTTTTTCCATATTGTTTTTATACAATGTGATCTCAATTTTTTCCCATTTTTTTTTGTTTTTACCCCCCTTCCAACTTAGTTTTTTTGATAGCTACTTTTGAAACTTAAATGGTAACGTATATATTTTATTAACTACTAAAGTTAAAAATAATGTATTACAAATTTTGATTGGTCGGTAACCAGTTTCGGATAATTATTTTTGAAGTTATTGAAGTTTCAAGTTTAAGGCAGGAGGAAAGATGGAGTGTAGTATTATTTTTATCTGCGCGCATTCCCCAACCACACTTCTCCTCCCATCATAACTTTAAAACTCTTATAACTTTAAAAAAAGTTATCCGAAACTGGTTATCGACCAGTCAACATTTTTAGTACATTATTTTCAAGTTAAAATTTGGAAGGGGGGTAAAAACAAAAAAAAAAAATTAAGATCACATTATATAAAAAAAAATTTTAATTACTTATTAAGCCCTATGAGATATTGAGTGGCTCATGATAAAAAAATCATCCTGTATAATAATAAAATTAGTTATTATGATATGAGCGTAAAATAGTAATTTAAAAGATAATGAAAAACGCGTTTCAAAATGCAGTAACAGCTATAACAATGTTGAACATAATTTTTATAGGTAATGCAAATTATTATTTTTTTTATTCTAATAAATAAAATATTTTTTTTCAAAGACGTTGGGCTTCAAAAAATGCATATATTTTTGTCTACATTTATTATTGCGTTTTTAAAATTATTTTAATATTGCATGTTTTTATTTAACTACGTACATTAAGTCAAATCTCAAGGTTATAATTGTCTCTTAAAAACCTGTAGTTAATGATTTAACTACATTTATTATGCATTTTTATTGATAATATTTGTCGGATTTTGGACTTGTCAGTTATTATTATAGTTATTTCGTTGGATATAAGCGAATAGTACTGCAAGGACGTCAGTATAAATATTTATGTTTTGTAAAGCGGTGCATACTCTTCCACTTCCCCATTAGTAATTAACGAATGTAGAACGCTAAAACATTTAGTATACAATATTGTATTTACCGTCACTTTGAAAAATTAATGCAATATCAAACCGCAGAAGGTCGACAACTTTGATTATAATTTCCAATGAAATACAAACGAATACCCGACTGCCAGACTTGTTATAATTAGCATAGAAAACTTTAACAATATAATTTAATCATTATTCATTTGTTTATTGGTTTACGTACCGAGTCCGGTTGTTAAAATAATATAGTTAGTCATGAAGAATTTAGAAATAAACAAAAAAGTGAAATACCTAATGAAGAATACCAATAATGGTATTTTCATAAACAATCATTGTCCAGGATGCTATAGTTTACAAATCATCTAAAACCACACTGATTGGACAAATGTAATGTATTTATATCATGGCCGCATTCAGCATATTTTTTTCTAGATGTGATACAAATATTGATGGTTTGTCTTGATAAAAACCAAAAATTAGTCTCTGGTTAACTAGGTACATTTCGGGCAGAGGAGGCGTCGAGTACTGAAAATTGTCATGATTTATATAACACAGAGATTGCAATGTTACCAAAACTACACGAGAAACAATATTATATGCTTTTTGTTTAAATGTATTTTGGATAACTTAATTCGTGTTAAAAACAAAAAAAAAACATGTATACATACAGGGTGTAACAGTGCAATTAAAACAACGCGTCATTCTATACTAGTACGTTATTGTTATTCATATTTACAAATGTTATACGTTAAGGAAGATGGTAAATGGCAAAAATTCATTATTTTTGCTTTGGTATTATAATTAGCAAAATGAGTAATGGCTAGGTAGAGCACAAACGCCAAGTGCAAACCAAGTGAGCGTGTGTTTTTGTTAAGCAAAATTGCACATGTTCGTCTTCCCTTGAGTGTCATTATTTTGAAAATATAATGAATATTATGTTACTTCGGTTGGGATATCATAACGTTTCAAAGTTGAAAAGACTTATAAAAGAGATATTCGAGTGAATATACAGAACAGCATATGTTGCACGTTATGTGAAGTTATAAAACGTGTCTGCATTGAGTATAGATAGTAGGTACAATGTTAACTTAATGGTATATAATATGTAATGAATTTACAATAAAGGATATTTTACACTGTTATAGAAGTCGATAAAAAAATTATTGATTTCCTTTACATTATTTTGTTGCCATGTATTTACTATCTAAATTAGCGCTTTCTTACTAATCAGTAATCATCGTTCTTGTCATTATCATTTATTTTATCATAAAGTTTAGGCGGAATTATAATCGAAGAAAACATATTATTCTATGTTAAAACTGATCTGTGACCTCTGTATTATATTTTAACAGACAACAGATCATGTATTGTAGTGGTTTTGATGTTTGAATTGCATCCAATGTCGACCTAACTTTATAGTACAACTTGTAATTATGTTGAATACAAGTGGCGTGGCGAATACGTTTGACAAGCGTACAAAACACATATGTGTTTATGCATATTAACGAGTACCAACGACCCGTTGAAAACAGTGTCACGCAACAATTATTATATTACTTCATTATTACATTGAAAAAAACACATACACATACATATTTACGTGTACCTGTGGGTGCTAAGTAGAATATAGTTCAAGCCGTTTACATATTGTTATGTATTACACAGTCCTATGAGAACGGTACCCTCGTGACCCCTTTTCGTGTACGAGCGTCCGGCGCGGCTGGCGTGTTAACTAGAACTATATTTCTTTTCTTCGGCGTCGTTGCAATAATTACTATTTTTTTTCAATTTTTAATACTGAGAAAAAATATTTCGTTTAACGACCAGTTGGTTGCTTAACACGCCGATTGTGTTTTGAAAAAATAAACATTAATGTAGAATCCGGTAATTATCAATTTGTCGTCTACCTTTTTTGTTTCTTTCATACAGCTGATGTGATCAACTCTGTTAATTACTACCTCTAAATTAGTCACCAAAATTAAATTGCAAGCTCTTTGCAATTTAGTCTATAATAATATTAATTAAAAATACGAAGGCGCACGTTTAAAAAAATACATTCCATCAATTATCATTAGTTAAAATATTTAGGAAATGACTGACTATACATCTGAGTAGGCAGTTTAGCCGCTTCACGTTACAAATATGTCTTTGTGTGTTTGCTTAATTGATTAATAATGCACGGCTATTCATTTAATAATATTATGTTGTTTTTAAGGTAAAAAATAATTAGTGTGTGACTGACGTCGTGTCGTATACGGACGTGTAGTTCTGTATACCACCTGACGAATGATTGTTTACCACAGTTTTAAACGGTTTCTAAAAATCAAAATTAAGAAGGCCGCGTTTTGGTAATTAAAACTATTGACGTTATATTTTAGGGTTC